AAGGAGAATGAGATACAAGGAAGTTAGAGCTCCCATGTTAATAAAGTTGTACTTCAGTATTGTAATCCAAAAAGCTGATGGAAAGTGGTAAAGGTGGTCTTCTGGGACCTAGTAATAATTTATGAACCGGATAGCACTTACTCTTAGAGGATGTTGGTTAACCAGGAGGCAAAAAACTCCAATAAACCAAACTAACATTCTTCTTTAAGGAAGTTCTGCAGTATGCTTGCTGGAATATTCCTGTAGGTGCATAGGTGTGGTAGCTGGAGATCATGGGTCCAAAAAACCTGGATCCAGATTTACTTTCTGTAACAGTGATGCATATATTAACTGAAATTAATGTTAATTTAGTTTTATTTAATAATCCATTATGGTCGCTGGTATTCACAACATGCTCGTGGGAGAAAAAGACAGATTCTTTTGTGACAAATCAGATTTTACAATACTTCAAGAGCTTTGCATTTCTTTCAAGGCTTGATGGATATTAGATAAAGTTTAATGTATGGTCGAGGTGGGTTTATCCTTGGTGGTTGAGATTTGAACAACCTTAATATTGTTTCTCTGTTATGCTATTGAAATAATTGCAATTGGAATGACTGAAATATGTACAGTTAATTATATTAATATGGGGGCCCGATGACAGTCATCCTACCAAATCAGTAACAAAAGATAAAATGGCTTCCACTCATAGAAAATTTTACAGGTTTCTTTAATAGATTGCTTTGAGCATTACTCATTTTTAATGTGAGAATGATTGATCCTAATTAGTGTCCATTGTGTGTTTCACTTATGATTCACAGTATAATGTAGAGATAGGATTCTATAGGAATTATATATGTAGAGATAGATGAAAAGTCATTAAATTGTTTCTTCCTACCTCTCGGCCATTTGTTAAGCCAGCATGTTTAAAAATAACTTCATGCCGAGCCTACTTTAGATCTTGGATGTCTGTTTTCAACCCCTGGGAATTTGGCAGATGCTGTAAATCTTTCAGAAGGCTTATTATGATCAGTTTGTTAACTTCCTTTATAATTAGTCCAGCTTGAAGCTGATAATTGGAGGACCCTGTGTTAGTCTCATTGAAATCAATGCTGAGGCCAGGGTAGTGTAAAGGTAGGTTTTTAGATACATATATACGTCAGCTCATATTCTTCACGTCTGTGCCATTACATAGGCAGCGCTTAGGCACTGTAGAAGAATGATGTTTTAGTTGCATACACACAATGAGACACCGAAAAGCATCGAAGAGTGCCAGAAAGGGCGGAATATGAAATTACACTCTACAGTCACTGTCTGGCAATAGTGCTTGTGTCCATAGCTCTGTCATTTGCAAACCTTCCACGTACTTTACCTGCATTACAAAATTCAAATGCAGGGCAGATTGCTGGCCCACAAATTATAAAAGAGTCATGCAGAAATCTGTGTGCAAAGCATAGCCCTGCAGAGTTGTGTGGAAGTGCCATTTTCTGCAGAAGTAGCTTGAGGGAGAAGTACGATTGCTTACACGTTGCCTCTCTTGAGAAGTGTGTGGTTGGTCTTTCACATAGGTTGTTTTCTTCCAAGTTTTGCTTTATTTTAATAAAGGAGCAAATCTGTGACAGTGCTGCCCCTACATATAGAATCTTCATTCTCTTGTAGTGATTATACTTCTAAAGCATCAGCTTTTGACTCATAAGCTGTTTCATAAGGATGCTTTCTTTTTCCATCAAAATATAGATAATAGCAGTGATCAAGCTACTTCTCACTGATACTTTCGGATTCATTTTCTGAAAAACATACCTGGGAAATCAACTAGCAAAACCACATACAGGACTAAATAGATCTGTGCAAGAGGATATACACTTCATCTATTTTATCTGCATATGATAAAATGTTTTAAAACACATTAAGTGAATAATTTTGCATGACTTGCCAGGTTGCCAGTAGCTAGTTTTTGAGTGTCATCCCCAACTGATAACAAGGAATAAAATTTTGATTTATATAGCATAGCTTATAGCAGTATCTTAATCAGAGCACACAGTCTTCCAGTATTTTTCCTCTTCAGCTGAAGAAGGAAGTTTGGAAAGAATAGATTTTCATTTTCTTAATTGAAAATAGCACAAAATAAACTTTCAAACATTAAAGGGCAGATGATTAACTCTTCGCCTTGGGTTAAAAAACATAATAAAGGCAGGGAGTGAGGGGGAGGCTTGGCAAGACAGAGTTACCAAGATATTTCTTTTATTTATTTTAGTGACTGATTTTCTAAGTTTAGTTGTTCTGTGCCTTGGGTTTAGTTTCTGTTTCAACACTCACTTGGAGTCTGTCTCATAGGAAGTTAGAAACAGCAGCTGTGTGCCAGCTGTGCTGTGGTTTGGCGTTTCCACATGCTTTGGGATTTGGAAAGCAGGTAGCAAGCCATTTTGCTCTTCGTGTTTAAAAGAAAAATGCGAGTTTTGTAACTTAGATTTGATCCCCTAACCGCATAAAAATTGAACTGAAAGAGCAGCATTGATGTTTTGCTCAGAACACTGCTTAGTGCCAGTATTTTTGTTAAAAAGCAAGTTTTTGGGGGCAAGTTCAGCCTCTTGGCACTGCGAGTCTGTAGTGTTTGTTGCCAAAATACTGCTCGATGCTTGGACTTAGCAGATAAGATCTTGTCATTGCTCATTTTGGTAGGTGTTTTGCTGTTTAGTTTCACAGGGCTTCGATTCCCTGCCTTCTGGAACAGTTTTGTGTAGTTATTCAAGGGAGCTAATGCATTCAGTAGGAGCTGGCAATTAAAAAATAAATTTTAAAAAATCTGTCAGTGGGAAAACAAAAAGATGTGAAAGGCACCTAGGGGTTGATCCCCCCTCTTCATCTGACTTGAGGTAAGAGGCAAGTTAAGATCAATTCTTAGGAGCTAATGAAGATTGCCATTTAAAGGCTTTTCTCACTGTTCCCCAACTTTCAGTAGCTGAGCGTTAGTTAACAGGTAGTGGTGTGCCCTGCCAAGTGGTGGCAATTAGCTGAGATCCACAGGTATGGAGCACAGTGTAAAACTCCCTCAGAGTCTGTTTACATACAGATTTTTAGTTTCTTGAGTCTCCATTTTTGAACAGGTTTGCTTACTGTCCTTGAAGAACATCTAATTCACAGCATGACACTCAGATGTTACTCTGACTCTGCCACACTATTTGACCTACTTTTTGTGGAGGTTCAATGCTTCTCTTGGGTGGTGGCACCAGAAAGCATGTTGGGTCCAGCTGATGTTCCCCACTGGAAGTTTCGATTCCATTCTTCCCTGTTACACAAACAAAACCTCCTGAGTGTTTGCAAAAAGCATTCTTTCAGTTTTGTGTTTTCTGAAATGAGATTGATACCCATTTGAAAGTATTGAGCTGTTTTTGTTTTGCTCTTTTCTTTCTCCTAGCTGAAGGACCTGGTGGTTCTGGGCTTCAGCACTCACTGATAATATTTTATTGAAATTCTGGAGTTGCTAAACACATTTGGCTTTGTTGAAAGAAGTCTTCAGACTTCAAGTATGCACAAGGAGGGATGTTCAGACCTGTTTCACCTTGAGATGGGTTTCAATCACTTTCACAAAGACATATTTAAAAGAAAAGGATTCTTATTTGTAGTGATTATTGCATTTTCTTGAAAGTGTTTCCCAAGAGTCAAGGGCAACCTTTGCAGAGAGGATACTGAAAAGATAATAGAATCATAGAATTGCTTAGGTTGGAAGAGACCATTAAGTTCATCAAGTGCAACTATTGATGTACATGTATATGTTTTGCCATGTTACAGTAAATGGCTTTTAATGACCACAAAAATCTTGGAGATAACTTTCCATGCTCTCCTGTGCAGCAGTGTTGTAGAGTCTGGAAAGGTCTTCATCAGACTGGCTCTTGGATTTGTAGGATAAGAAACTGTTGAAAAATCTACTTTCTATAAATACTTGATTGACAATGGTGAAATGGAGAAAAAAAAGAAATTCCTTACTGTTACTGGATATGTGTTTGAAGTGAAATAAACTAATATGGACTTAGAAAAAATAAGTCAGAGAAATGTTGGTGCAGTTTCAAACACAGCCTATTTTATACTTTGGACCTTGCATTCAAAACTGATAGCATGAAGTTCCTATTTACACAGTGCTCTGTCTTTTAGAAGTATAACTGAAATGTGAAAACACGATATAATCTCTTCTGGAAATACAATGCAGTGCTATACAAGGATTGCAACAACTGGAATTTCTCATTTAGGAATGAACTGTCATTCATAATAGAGATGTTGACACTGGTGATGGTTAAATCTCAGACAGAAAAGAATCTAATTTGATGGAAAAATCTCATTTGACAGAAGAAAATTACTAGCTTTAACTGTTTGGATTTGTCAGGCTGCCAACAATGCGTGCTTTGCTTTCAGGAAGAAATAGCCATCACTGAACATGTCAGGTGAATTTTTTCAAGGTATATTTTTTCTCCTACTAGTAATTCTGATTAGGTACTGTTGGTGTGTGGTACTCTATTTTCAATCAGTGTTCTGCACAGTTATTTTTCAAATACAGCATGTTTGTAAAGTGCTGGTACTGTGGTGACCTCCACAAAACTGCAGGTGTAAGAGGCTCCAAAACCGTACTCCCAGTTGCTTGCTTTCATTTTTAATTAAAGACTGTTTTTGTGGAATACTTATTGGTATGATAGAAGCCAAAGTAATTAAAGGCTAGAAAGAGAGGAAAGGATAAGAGCTTTTAAAAATAATTACCACTGCTTCATAGAGGTATACATGTTTCCAATAAAATTGAATTTATCTCGGTGTCCTGTTTGTTCAAGGTGCTCCCCTCTCTTAAACGCATAATTCCTGTTTCTTTTGGCATATTGGTAATGCCACTGTATCACTTACGTCATTATATTCGTAGATTTATATAGTTCCATTTAAATATATTCCTGTCATAGACCAAGAGATGATCTGTGGTTTAACATAACTGTTACAACCCAAACTTCAATTTTATTTAATGTTTGCATTGTTTTGCTGTGTAGTTGACACTCCAGACCCCTATGTGGAGCTCTTCATCCCCTCTGCCCCTGACTGCAGGAAGAGAACTAAACATTTCAATAATGACATCAATCCCGTGTGGAACGAGACTTTTGAGTTCATTCTGGATCCCAACCAAGAGAATGTTCTTGAGGTAAATCAAGTGACTGATCTGCATCTGTGAAAATGGAACTCGAACAGTGTCTGGATGGTTAAAATAACAGTACCTTCTGTGTGTATGGCATCTGTTGTGTGAAGATTTCGGGGTTTGTTTTTTAATATTACAGGCTAGATTTTGTGTTTAGGCATGGTGCTCAGCAGGAAGTACTGTATGAATTCTTTTATTCAGGGAATAGTCTTGAGAGTCATTGTAAGATAGTTCTCTGAGTCATCCTTCAGAGTGTTCCTGAGGGCTAGTGTTCCTTGCATCAGCCATAAATTATTTTGTCTCTGCTTCCTTCACTGATTCAACTATTACGGACTGTGAATAGTTGGGGGTAAAGTCAAGTCTCTGCTCTTTCCCTGCTTCTCCCTTAGAAAGCAGAATCATGGTTCTGCTTTCTCCTTGTGCCCATCCAGTGGTGTTTTGGGAACTCTTACACCATGTGCAGGCTTGTTCACCAAGCCACCATCTAATATCAATATGTTAAGCCTTTCAGGGTTGTGTACAATAAATTAGTGGTAAGTATAATTATTTTATCAGTGCGCATGGTAAGCATGTAAGTTTTACAGTGCTGTTAGCTTGGTTCTTCACAGGGTATGGCCCTAACATGCACAGTCCTCTGACCCAAGCTTACAGGTTTTCCATCTAAATTAGTTGGATAGACAGGACAGAAGTCAGAGCCTGTGAAGCTAATAACTATAATCTCTTGAGACTAAACTGTTCAAGATCCTAAAACTGATTTGTGTCTGCAGTAGTGCTCCCTGTCTTCCTTGGGTGAGGATCAGGATTTACTGTTTGGGCAGGAAGAATTGCATGCTCATCACACTGGAGCATGAAGAATAATTATGCACATGTAACAACACTAGTTTTGCAGAAAGGAGATTATGCAAAATAGCTTCCAGTTTATCAGGTGCAAGGGTCACCTGAGTTGATTTGATCTATGTTTTGGTCATAGACATGCAACCTGGCTAAGTGAAACTTGAGAAAAGGTTGAAATCTCTCACATAGTTACTGCTTTCTTATAATAACACAGGCAAACAGTTATCAGGACTTCTGCATTTTCTAGCATTGATTTATGCAGTCATTAGAAAGTATAGGATTTTATGAGCTGGCAGGTGGTTGATTTCCAGCATAGTGTGGCTGTAGTTTACTGCTAGGATTATGCAAGTCCCTATTTCCTGTAGCAGAACACAGTAAACTTCATTACAGTTAGAATTTGGAAATGTATCTTTATTGTACCTAAAGAATGGTTTCTGAGACACATGCTAAAAAAATCATGAAAATTGCCTGCAAAGCTTCAGTGATACCATGTAATAATGGTTAATTTTGGACCTGTTTGATATATATCTGCATACATACATATATGCTGTTCATGGTAAATGTTCTCTTCACCATGAGAAATATATTTTCTAGGTTAAAGCCAGTATTTGTGTTCTGTCAGTGTTGTACACGCTTACAGTTCCTAGCAGAGCCTTTGGGGTCCTGTGGGGGGTACAGTGTCAGAATTCAAATCTGTGAAACTACCTACCCTATCTTTTGAGTGTAGACTTCGCGATCCTCTCTATTTCTTGGATTATTTTAATCTAAATCTTTAGCTATGTCCCAAGTGCAGTTTTTACTCTGTGTAGTGTAAGAAACTCTCCAAAATCCTCTTAAGAAGTTCTTGCTATTGCTATTTGTTTTATGTCCACTCTCAGAGATTACAGCAAAGGGCATAAAGTTCTGTGAGAAAACAGAGAAATGTAGATGCCATTAAAATGAGTTCTATACTAAAACACAGTTCCTCATTTCAATGGGTTGATTGTGGCATAGGATGAAAAAGATTCTTCTTAGCCAAGAAGACATCGAACCCAGATATAACAACTAGTCATTCAAGTGGTTGTGTCTTGATTCCATTTATTTTATGCAAAAGAAACATTCTAAGCTGAAAACACGATATTTTAGAAGAAACTATTTCACAAAGCAGAAAAAACTCATAAACCAAACGAGTTTGGAGAACTCATTTACTAGAAACCATGGAAATGGTAATTTGAAATTTCTGAACATCTTGAGAACTTGAAAGGCTACCACTGAGATAAAAGACTGCCAGATGTAGACCAATGTGGGTTAGAGCAAATGCATTGAACAACATTCTGCTGTGTCTGCATGAGTGTTTGTATAGTACCACATTTTGAAAAGGCATGTGCTTTGACATGGAGGATGAGAAGAGACTTGAAGGTCTGGTTGGATACAGAGAAAAGCTTTGTGTAATTTGGAATGCTGTGTATTTTGCCAAATCATTGCTGTGAAATTCTTGGTCTGTGGATAGAAGGTTAGGACATATGGATTCCATCTTTGTTGAAAAGCTGCTGTATGTTTTTTGGCATATTGCATTTAAAATACTTAAAGTTTCTCTATGGAGAAGTTTTGCTAACTGGAAATTTGAAATAATTATGTATGTACTATATATAATTTGAAGTAATTACATCTGCTTAGTCAGGTGGTGATTTTTACTGACAGAAAGGTGCTCACATGAAAAATGCTTTGTAAATGATGCTGTCCTACTCTTGCCATTGAATGCCTTGAAAATGCCACCTACGCTATGTGTTAACTTATCCTGTTTTAAAATGATATCACTGGGTGTTGACTGGGTTGGGTTAGTCATATTCATTTCCCTGTCCCTTTTATAAATTTTAATTTTAGGCATAGACCGTATGGAATTAGTAAGAGATTTATCAGTGTAGAATTGAATGTCCTTGTATCTTTTCTAGGTTACTTTGATGGATGCCAACTATGTGATGGATGAGACTCTTGGCACATCCACATTTCCTATATCCTCTCTGAAACTGGGAGAGAAGAAGGAGGTCCAGTTAACTTTCAACAATGTGAGTGGCAACATTTGAAGCTTTACCTGTGTTGATGCAGCTTCAAATGTGATGGGAAGTTTTTAAACCTGAACTGAGACCACCTAAACTGCTGTGTAGATCTGGATAGTTTCAGTCCAGTATCAGGTGTCTGAATTTTAACTGTGCTGTCGTGGTTAGACAGAGCTTCTTCACAAATCACGGGAAACTTGCTGCTTATAAAGAAAATGTTTCCTAAGGAATCTCACTGAGTCTGATATTACTCAGAGTTTTCCCTTAGTCACTTTGTTGAAGCATAAGAAAAACATTCAGCCTGCTCATGATACTGGTTGGAAGTACACGTTCCTAGATAAAAGGAAATCCAAGACTATTTCCAATTGCATCAGTATGCCTCGTTAGTATTTATGGCCATACTTTCTCAATATAGAACCAAATTTTGAATTCAATAAAAGATTAGAATATATCACAGATGGGGTGATGGCAGCAGCATGCCAGTCAGGAAATAGCTAAATTAACTAAATGTGGAGGCTGGGGAGGGGTATCTCAGGCAAGGATGGTTCTCTGCAGGCCCTGTTCATTCAGTGCTGGCCATGGTTAAACACAAGGCTGGCCCACTGGCACTATTTATCTCCTTACGCTCTTACTGAGAGGAGAATTAAGAAAATCGGCAGCACTGAATGCTTTCGTTTCTGAGAGGATCCTCTTTAAAAGCCTAGTTTCAAACTTTTGCTCTCTAGAAAAGTTTCTGCACCACTTAGTTCAAATGAGGTTAATGGTCTTTGTTAGTGAGAGAGGTTACATGGGTTTTGCTGTTCAGTATATTATCTCTACTACATATGCCTGTGGCTTCCAGAAAGCTAACAGGAATTAATTTATTAGCATACATTGCACTTATAATAAATGGCTGGTTGTAACACAGCCCTAGTTAGCATATAATAATGCATTAGTATGAATGCTGCTTAAAAAAAAAAAAAAAAAAAAAAAACAGCAAACAAACCCCAATTGGATTATTCTCTTTAAACTCGTATACAAAACAAATGGTGTCAATTTAACAAGGATTGCCTGTCTGCACGGAAACTCCTGGAAGTAGTTGTTAAGTCCATGTGTAACTGAATTTGTTCTGCATGTATTGAAATATCATGACCTATTAGAGTAACATATTGGAGGCCATTCTGAATGTAATTCAGCAGCTGTAATTATATTCCTCACATCTGCTCATCTTTATATATACCATACAATACATATAAATACCATATACATTTCTCTTTGGGGTTGTGGTTTATTATATGAGCAGAGGTCATGATTTGTGATTGCTCTGCTGTTTTGTATCACTGTGATACAACTTTAAAAGTATGTTTAGTTACAGCAAATAACTGCTTGAAGCCCATTTACTGGAAAAGGAGAGTTTTGTGCATAAAATATAGCATTTAACTAGGAAATGCCTTAGGAAATTTATAGGCAAATGGTAAAGGAACATCAAGTCAGGCTGAGCCCAGTGTAGACTATTTGCATGCACAACATGTACTCCAGAGATTTCCATGGCAGTCTGTATAAGGGAAAAAAAAAAAAGACATACACTTTCTGTATTGGAACATTTCACTGGAAGGGCTTATTTAATAATGTGCGCATACATTTTTTCAATGATTGGATCACTGCATGTTTTCTGAAGTGCTTTCTAAATTAGTAATATCAGGTGCTGGAATAATGTAATTGCTAATCTGCCTTTGAAGTGTTTCCGTAAATGACTCTTTGCTCTGTTTCTTCATGTTCACCCTTTATTTCTTTGCCTTTTCTTCCTCCCCCCCACACCTTGTTAATGAGCCACCTCATTACAGCACCCGCTGTGGAAGGCTCCAGGTGAGCACCAGGTTTTACCTGGGCAGGTATGCAGGAGGGGGGAGGCCACGGGGAGCTTTGCAATTTCCTCTCAGTAGCTACTCTGTACAAGGGTGAAGCAAATGTGCAGAGCAAGGAGCTGGCCCAGTTCTAACCCTGTTCCTGGTGAGCACACAACAGAGAGGAGGAGAGTGATTCCTTCATAGCTTGAGGTGGAGCAAAAGAATATGCCGTGTGAGTGTTACACACCTCCAAGGCTGGACCGATGTGTCAGTGGCCATTCCCTGTGAGAGAGCTGGGGACATGAAGATGCTTGCCTATTCTTAGTTCCAGCAGCCCTGTACTTTTGGGTTTTACCTAACAAGTGTAATTGGTGCTTTAATCATCGTTTTTAGCCTTTTGTGTGCTAGGAACCCCTTTAAGTGCTCTATGAATGAGGCAGAGGAGACCATTCTGTAGCTTATGGGCCAGATAGACGCGTTTAGCCTGCAAGAGTGCTCTGAAATTCCCACCTCTTGCCACACAAATATTTTTTGTGCATGCAGCTATTCAGCTAGTTATCACCAGAGCTGTTAGATGTGCTAAAAAACAGTCAAATTGTTCCTTTTAGTATTGACAATGAACTAGCATTTTGTTGGACTTACTTTTCTGAAGAGGCAGGAGAATTCTTACTTTGTTTTGTTCTTTTTAACATATTGCCTAGCAGATGCTTAATGGAAGTGAAAGCATTCTGTAGTGACATTCATTAATTTACTTGCATCTTTCAGAAATTGTAAGCAATCACTCTTCTTGATTGATAATTTAGACTTATTTGACTATGGAAAGACATTGGGTAGCTCACATGGAGCGCAGAGCAGTCATTCCCTTGCAGGTTTCAGATGCCATTTGAGTATGAAATTTGCCCAGGGAACTGGGAAGCAAGGACCAGATGAACTGTAGCTGGCAGTAGAAACAAAGGATCTTAAGTGTGTGAAGACAATTATATCCCTTCAGACTGAAGATGAGTAATTGTTATAAAGTGATATATTTTGAAATCATACTGTGTGATTTTAAAAAGAAAAAAAAAAGTTACATTTCAAAGAAACTCACAATTTTAAAAACACCTTGACAGTAGTATTTTTATATTCCAGGTGTGTTAATGTTGTGTTTTTTTTTTCCTCTGTAAGAGATGTGACCAGATTTAAATCTCTTTTGTGTAGGTCACAGAAATGACTTTGGAGTTGTCTCTTGAAGTGTGGTAAGTATCTCATATAAAAAAAAAAGATAACTGGAAAACATATTAGCAGCAAAGACATTTTAAATTTTATTCTGTTATTATTTTCCTGAAAACATCATGTAGAGATTCCTGGTTTTAACACTGAAATACCAAGCAGTTCACAAAGGAATTGTATCATTGACTTGACATTACTTGTATGAATACTTTTCCCCTTTGCAAATGTTTGTAGGATCAAGGCTATTGTGTATGAATTTCTCATCATGGCTTATGTTAAGTACTTTCCTTTTTAAGGGCTCTTAGACATAAGCTTCAGCTATTACCCTCATTATTTTACCTTCTTTAGTAACTTTGCATCTCACATTAGCTTTCACCATATATGAATACTCATTACAAAGCCTCCCTGAAATGTGTTGATACCATGCAGTATTAATACCAGGTTAATAAAAAAAAGTGTTAATACCATGCAGTACTGAAGTCAAAGGTGAAGATCTCAGTAGGAGCAGGATTTCCGTTAAAGCTATGCGGATGCCTACATTTTTAAAAAATATTTTAAATTTTGTTTCTTTCTCTAGATGTCTTTCTCCTTTCTCAGCCTATCTAGGTGAAAGACCAAGAATTGTCTTGAGGCGTAATCAGAAAAATACCTTTTAAGTCTAAAAATGAGTTACTGAACACAAGGCATTTAAAGAGTCCTTTTATTTTGGCAGGAACTATAAATAGCAGTGCTGAGCACTGTAACTATAAATGTAATGACTCTGGAGGCTGACAGACATCCCCCAGGGATAATTTTTGCTCATCATTTTATTCTTTTAGAGATGATATGTGTGTGGTCCTCAAAGACCACCCCTAAAACTTTGAGGGCTTGTACATTATAGATATTTCATGTCTCAGACAAGAGGTGAATGTAAGGTGTTTGGCTATGTGTTGCTGCTATATAGGCAGTAGGCATTGAAGCGGTAAAACAGAAGCATCCAATCAAGTTCAACTCTGCTGTTCTCTGATGGGCATGTGGATTTTGGATTCTTGTATGGATTTCTAGTTCATGGTGTCATATATACTTCCATGGAACATTGCCTCTAGACAGTCTTTTTTCCTCTTTTTTCTTAATACCAGTATTTTATTACATAATAGTTTTTAAGATAAATCTAAGGAGTCATTGTGTGTGACTAGATAGATCCAATTCACTATTATGTGTTTTTCATAAAGGATTTGTGAAAGTGCTATCAAAAGTATAACGAATGTGTCAAAGTATCCACAACATTTTTCAGCGTATTTTTACAAAAATGGGAGTTTCAGTGAGGCAGATACCAGGAAGAATCTGTGTGTTCCTCACTGCTATCAGCAAATCGCTGAGTGCAAGTATCTGTTGCTCACACACACGCGGTTATGTGGGAGGGATCCTGCTGAATTCAGCGGTGCACATCCACAAAAGGAGTGTTCAGCATGCGATAGCTTCTGGGCTGGCAATATTGAGGCTTTTTCTGAAGACCTTTTGCTAAAAACAAAGGTCTGTCAAACTCTGAGCCTGGAAGTATTGTAGTTCAAACCCTTGGAATGAGACTGGGTGAGTTAACCGGTCCGAAGGAGGAGACTGCTTGAATTGTTTGTCCTACCTTATCTGAAATGAGAAGTGGGAGCCGAAGTTGTAGCTATTATTTAAGTACAGGATTGAGGTCTTTACACAGCTCTATTTGCAATTCTGATTGTGAAAGGCAGGGAAAAAGCTGAAGAAAAGAGGCTTCATTTCTCCAGTTGGCAGTCAGGACAGTTCCTGCTAAAAGCCAAACACTTACTAATTGTAAGGCTGAATGGATAAGGCATCAAAATTGGCCTTTCCTCCCTAAATATGTACCTTTTATTTAAGAGTAAGTGTTAGTAGGTGTGTATGAACATTGTTCACTGCAGTTCTTTTTACAATGGATAAGCAGAAAATTCAAATTTCTAAGCCGAAAATTTAACATTGGAATACCAAGCAATTGTATCATTGACTTAACAACTTTACTTGTATGAATAGATGAATAGTTTTTCCCCTTTCCAAATGCTTGTAGGATCAAGGCTATTGTATATGAACTTGTCCACTCACATATATTTTGTTGATGTATTTATTTTTAAGACTGCACAATACACCACCAGAAGCTGCATATTTAATGTCTGGTTTTCACTAGTATGTGAACAGTGAAGTTCCTGTATAAAATCCACATCTTAACCACACAATGTGTCATTGTTCCTTGCTTCCTTCATTCCATAGACCCACGTGATGCAGTTGTTGCATGTGTAACCTTTTATTTTGTTTTATTCAAGTTTGTTATTTTTCTTTGTTTTATTAGGTGTGTTTTTTTAGTTCTTTTTTGAATTATGCCTTTTCCTAAAGCCTATCTGTTTTGCAAAATAGCTCTTCAACAGATCTCCGATTCAGTATGGCTTTGTGTGATGAGGAGAAGAAATTCCGGCAGCAACGAAAAGATAATATCATGCATAGCATGAAGTCATTTCTAGGAGAAGAAAACAGCAAGAACTTGACCACTTCCCGTGATGTAAGTTTGGAGAGTTCACATCAAGATTAGTATCCCCTGTGGATAGTAGAAGGGGTCAATGTAAAGAGAGAGAAGAAAAGCAGAAAAGTTTCTTTTCCCTCTGTGTACATACTGCGTTTAGAATGGGGAATGATTTTTCTCCTGCCCTAAGGCAGGAGAAAAGATGCACTTAAATAAGGTATGTCCATTATATGCAAGAGGACAAGACTGCATAAATGCCATCATCGGATAGAAATCACAGCTCTTCATCTGCACTGGCACCTTAAACAAACTGATGTAACTTCTAATCTGGCTTGTTTCAATTCTTTGAAGGCTATGCTGGGGTTAGAATTCTGCATGGAAGGAGATGTATCCCTGTGTTTTATTCTACTCTGATGCTGAATTCCTTTGTTATTCCTGATGCTGAAGACCTTTGTTAAGGTCTTGATTCTGAGCCGAGATCGTCATCTGAAAAAACACCTGAAGGGCACGTGCAGTATCTGCTGCACAAGGAGCATGTGGTGGCTCTGGGCATGCACACAATGGTGGAACCTGCCCTTGCATGCTTGATCTTCAGATTGTGCTCTTTAACATCGCCTTGGCTGTATGGCCTTCATGTCTAAAGGATCAGACAGGAAATGAGCTGTTTTGATGTCAGAGTCAGTTGAGAATTGATTTTCTTTCCTTCCTCTCTTTTTCCTTAGCTTGTTTTATAGGATTAGGATTATGGAGCTTAATTCTTAGAGGGTATCAGAAGCTGCAGCTTTCATCAACTCACAAGTGCTCTGTACTTTAAAATGTCAACCCAGTAGAGCTAGATAGACTGATGAAGGTTTGGGTCACATTAAAGTGAGGAAGTGTGCTGAACCCTACTTACACTTTCAGTGATTTTGTACAGCAGTGCTTTATTTCAAGTTAATGAAGGATACGCTTGGTCCAGGTCCAGTTACTTTTATTGTTCTAGCTTTTCCATCCTCCTCTTTCTTCCCTGTTTGTTCCCTGCCTAGTGTTTTGCTTCCAGCATTGGGACAGGATGACTGTTTGGGGTGGGTCAAGCAATTAACAGAATCAGTGAATTAGTCTGGCTTTAAGACACTGGTTCCTTCTGTGCATTTTAGTATGAACAGAATGTGACAGTCTTATGCAGAAACTGGTACCAACATAGAAGAATTGCCTTCTAAATTTCTATTAAGTTTTCAGTAGGTAATAAAGGTGTTATTGACATGCACTTTTGAACTTTTTCTTGCTTAATAAAATGTGCTTGAATGTTTTTTCTGAGGAAGATGAAAGAATTTGAGAATATTGTGGATATTTTATTTGTAGAGATATATATCACGCACATTGTGTACAAACATTTTGAAGGTTGTTTTTGTAAAAAAAAAATATAAAATCAGTGCAGTTATTTTATTGTTGATACATGCAAATCTTATCTGAGCAGATATTTCTGGATGACATTGTTTTGATCTTCTTAAGCAGACATATCTTTCTCAGAAAAGATGCAAAGATGTTCTGCCAAGATCCAGGTAGGATTGGAGTGATGCTTAGTGCCTAAAGTGTCAGTTCTATGCAGGTGGTGTATATGCATCAGTAAATCTCATTATTGCAAAAGCTAGGTAAGCTTTCATATTCTTTTTATCATCATCTTCCCTTGGTATCCTTCGCTGTCTCAAAGTTCATCAGTGTAGCTGCATCTTCCAAGACCAGGCAATAATCTCTTTTTGTGTGCATATCAACCCTAGAAGGACTGAGGTAATGTGATCCCTCCCCTTTTTCATATGCCAAGTGTGTATTTCTAAGCTGACTTGTCAAATTTTTTAGCTGCTTCTAGTGATGAAAAATCCTTTATGTTCAAATTAAAATACAGTTTTGTCCTTATAGACTGTCATTTTTATTTTTATTGCTAGAGATGTGAGATAGCAGGAGGATTTATAGGATGTTTGAAGTCTTAACATGGCATCAGGAGACATAAGTATTCTTAGCTGCCTATGAGTCATTGTTTGATCTTAAACAAGTCACTTACTCAGAGTTCATCTAAGTTTCTTCATCTGTGAATAGCAACATGTGTGCCTTGCAGGGATGCTGTGGGATTTTAATACCTGTGAAATAATTATGCATCCCTGAATGGTAGATAAGTGTGTACTTCCAAATCTCCTTGCTTAATGTTGAAACACATTCTGAAAACACAAAGGATGAGATTTCTCGTACCTGTGTTATTACTTCATTTGATAATTTTTGTAGCTTTAAACAATTTTCTAAAAATACAAAAATCAATTAGACTTCTCTAATTCTCTCAGACTGAATTTGCAGAACAATTTTTAATAATATATATGTCCCCCATAGCAAATATTTTCACACCACAGGCATTTTTGTCTGGATTTTGTGCACTGTGTTTCCAGGGCAGTTGGACAAAAACATCTGCACCATTCATTCCCAAAACAGGATTTAATGTATTTCAGCTTTTTTTTTTTTGCCAGGTTACTGAAAAGTATGACTGAGATGGTCTTTTTCAGAGCTCGCTTTTCTGAGATCTTGTTTCCCAAATGCTTTTCATTTTCACATCCAGTTAAAGAGATTAAACAGTCAGCTCTTGGTGAAATGAGGTGCCCAAGGGTTGGAGTAGAAATGTTTTGTACTGAGCCTTTCCCCGTGTTACAATGCTGCTTGGTTTCTAGAAGCAATACAAATGCATTGATGAAATGCTTCATCAAGATTGTTAAGTCCTGTTCAGCAGAGCTTGTTTGGATTATATCTAGACTGGTTTGTTCAAAACTAGCTTGGGTGCTGTGCAGACCAACCATAGGAAAAAGAAAGCCATGCTGGCCTGGCCCTTTGGTTGTTTAGGAAAAGATGCCGCCATATAGAAATAAGTGTGGCAGTATGGCCAGGGATTAGAGCAGTAAGCTTTTGTCACCAGGACTCTTGAACTGAACTCACAGTTTTGCTGTTGGCTTCCTGCGTGACTTCTCTTGTGTACCACTTGTGAATCTATGTTTACTAATCTGCTTGAGTGGAATTAGTACCTCTCTCTACACAGCTTTTACAAAGGATTTCAGCTGCAGAGTCCCTCAGATGAGCGGAGTGCATTAGCCACAGCCTGTATACATGGAGGCATATGCATGCCTCAATCTCATTTCTCCATTCTTTTTCACTGATGGGATGGTTTCTTGCTTCTTTTCCCTTTGTCCTCTGCCTGCAGCTACTTCCACCCTGCCTCTCCCTTACTTATCCTAGAGCAGAACATGTAAGATGGGTGTATGTAATTTCAGATTTCACCATTTCTTTCACTTAAACCTGCTGGAAACTGAATTGCAGCTGAAATGCTGCTTTAATAAAGCTACCTATTTGGTAGTAGCAAAGATGTTCTTTGCTTTCCTCTTCATAGCAGGAGAGAACTTTTATTGTCATCACTTTGCTTATGATCTACATGTCAACTAGGATTAGATTGGCTAAAATAAATGGATGCAAATGTGCAATAGATGCTTCTCTCATTTTTTATTTTTTTTTTCAGTATTTAAGAGGTTTATTTAATGTGGGAAGCTTGCTTCAGCTACTGCCCTCTACTCTAGAGCTCTTTCATTGAACTGCATTTCTGGAAATAAAGTAGAGATTTCAACTCTTCATCCTTTGCTTTGATACCAAGTGGAATTGAGAGATTCCTATATATACACATACCTCTCTGTATATCCATCCTCCCCCAGTATAGGAATCTCTGATTCTGTGGGTTAAGTATACAGGAAGAATTTGCAGCTAGGATGCTAGTGACTCTTCTTGACATTCTTTGTTGATCCTCCTTACAGACATCTCTGCATTCTGAAGGAAACTCACATTTTCCCTTGTCCTCGTGCCACATTACTGATGAATAGATTAGTTGAATAGTGGTGCTTTGGAAGTGTTCATGCATACTTTTTCCAGGCTTGCACCTGCAAACCACCCTCTTCATCCTGTTAGGATTTGTCTATGTGGATTAATGAGGTAGTGTTTGTAAAGAGCTTTCAAAGCCTAACGTACATTATTAAATTTCTGATTAGTAATATGGCTCTTCTGTTCAAAGCAACTGCTCCGTTATTGGGGTGTTGGCTTAACAAAACAGGCATGTCCTAAATCTTTACCTTTGTTTTGTCATTTTTGGATAGATAGCTATCTCTGGATATGCATGATGAATGCTGATGCCAATAAATACCTGTGGTTTCTATTACTAAATCTTAACACTTATAAAGAAGATAATCAAATAATCTTACTGCATCAAGAGTAAGTAATTTTTGCAGAACAGAAGCCTCAGGAAATGTCTCACCTTATTTGGTCATTTCCAAGGGGCTATACATTTTTGGTCCACAGGGGAATTTCACTGCTTAAAGTATGGAGCCTATAGAAAAAAACTCAGTAATCACGTGGTCCCTTTTCTTATAACTAATCCCATCGATTGGCAGCTTACGTTGAGTTTCAGTGAAATTTTTGACTGATTACTGGTTTGATCAGATACAGGCTTTCTGCGCAAGTGTGTGATTTTTTTACGCTTAGTAACAACTAAGAGGTTTTTGTCTTATCACCATTGAACAGTGGAAAATTCTTCTTGGTTTCTGAAAGCCAGGTGGGACTCTTGCTTAGTCTAAAACTCTTCATGCTGGTAGCAAGTGGGCATTTATTTTTTTCTGTCATATTTCCAGAAGAAGGAAAGAAGTATAACATAAAACTCCTATAAATATGTTTTCAATATGGTATCACTTGTAACTGAATCTGCTCTTGCTCAGTTTTCTCTTAGCAGTTAAATAGGTGTAAGGATGCACATAAATTCTCCTTATCTCACCGATAGTTTTTGCAAGGTTGTTTTAAATCTGAGACTGTCTTCATGCTATTTAGTAATATCCTCGTTTTTATTATCAAATGTGGGTTTAAGCTCCTTTTAAACTCCTAACCAAAATACTATTAGTCTCTCTTCTGTTTCTTACTAGTTACTTTTGCTGTCTTTGGCTCTGTCACTTAGATATCATTTGGATTAAAGCTGGTCTTTAGATTGCTTTAAAAATTTCTGTGGTTTAGTGACTAAGAAGTTATTAAATAACTGTGTTTAATATCTTCTCTACTTTGTTTATTTCCTCAATTAGGGATAATCAGGACAAACATTCAAAATAAAATCAGAGTATATTTTTATTAAGAAGTCTTACTACAGGTGGAGATATCTTCAAATAAATTCTACTTCTAAAGATATTCAGCAATTAGTGTTCTAAGTACTAGAACATTGTGGGGGCAATAGCTTACTGTTGCCGAGACCTGACTTGGTTTACAGCTGATTTGTAGACTTATTGGCTGTATTTTAAAGTCTGAAGCAGTGCCGCAAATCTGTGCTAGTAAATTGAGCTGGAAATTCTGTACATTTTTTCAGTAGACAGGATGCAAAGGAGAGTCAGTATTTGACTTTCACTCTCTCTATATGTTTTACTATTTGACCTGAAGAATTGAAAAACTGAAGCACTACCCTTCTGTGCCTGTAAAGAACCTAAAATGAAGGTTCCTGCACAGTGATAATATTGTCCCCTTTCAGCATGTAGTAAATGAAAAATATGATTCAACAGAATTATAGAAATAGTGTTTGGAAGGAAGCTCTGGAGGTCAGCTAGTCCCAGGTGTCTCTGAAAGGACTACATTATCAATGCTTAACTTACAGTCAACAGAGAAAATTGGGAGGATTCCATCTAGCAAGTTCCAGGATAATCCAGAGTTTAGAATATTGCTGAGTCCCAACTCTGATATTCATCGTCCCAGCCTTGGTCTGATCCTGAATTCCGTCACCTCATGAGGACTAGCAGCCCAGGCAGCTATCAGTGGCCACATTTGTCCCCTGATCCTTTACTGTCTGTGAGCAGCAGTGAGGTGCAGCACTACCACTAGTCAGTCCCTCCAGCATGTGCTTTAGGTCATTGTCACAAACTTCTTTGATGGCTTGCACAGTGCTGCCCTTCGAGCAGGGGATTAAACTGCCCTATGAGGACCACAGCCAGATCAGGAGACTTCTGCTGTTCTTTTAGGGAGAGCCTTACCTACCTACCTCATCCAATTGATTAGGCAATGTGAATAGGCCTGCCACAACTTTCTTTCGTCTTGAAACACAAAATCCCAAAAGATGTGTGTCTAATTTCATCCCAATGTTTTGTGCAGTCAAGGAGCTGCCTTCTTGTAGAGCACAGCCCCCTGCACCGTCTTCCCTGCCTATCCCTCCTCAGCAGTCTCCACACCTCCATGGCAGTGCATCAGGTGTGCCTGTTGTCCCACCAGGTCTTTATCATTGGCTGTGCCATCCCGTTACTGTGAATGCACATGAGCTTCCATCTTTATTTGTTTCATGTCCAGTCTCTGTACGTTAATACAGAGACTTTCTGAGGTGAGCCTCTGAGCCCTCTCCATCCTGAGAGGGAATATGCAAGTCTCCCCACTAGCTTTCTCCCATGCATACCTCCTGCATTTGCAGTATTTGCACCATTTGCTCGTGTAGTTCTCTGTTGATGACTAGTTAGTCTGAAGTCTTCCTCATTTAATTAGAGAGTCTGTTCAGGAGGATGTTCCTCACTCTTTTGGTTAAGTTGATAGTTATTTTCTGAATGGACCATCCTCATCATCAAGCAAGGCTTCATGAGCAAGACTACAGGAGTCTTCTTCTGATGTTGCCTAGGCGTGGTAACATCTGCCTAAACCATTCCATTTCAAAATGGGAAAGATCAACTCCACAGGCCACAGCTGTGGCCCCCTGTGCCCCGCATTTCTGCTACAAGAGGGGGAAAAACATCTTTCATCTGCTCAGGGTCTCACCTATATCACTTGTGCCCACATGGATGAGCACTGAGGTGCTGTTACACACCTTTTGTTGGCACCTCTTGGTTACTGGTGGACTGCCCCTGGGTGCAACATAAATAGGAAGCTCTTACACACGTGACACTAAGACACTGCAGAATACTTTCTGTTTGGCTAACCTGTGTCTGTGCACAGGCTAGAAAAATTGTAGGTTTCATCTCTGCTGTGAGGATCACTCAATTGTGACCTTATTAGCACAGGGACGGTATGCTTGGCCAGTGACTGATGAGTAACGTTTATTTGCTACTTTAAGTCTTTATCAGAAGTGAGGTGTTCATACTGTGTTCTTCTCATCTATGCAGGTACCAGTGATAGCAGTATTGGGTTCAGGAGGTGGATTTCGTGCCATGGTAGGGTTTGCTGGAGTTATGAAAGCACTTTATGAATCAGGAGTTTTAGACTGTGCAACTTACATTGCTGGCCTCTCTGGATCCACATGGTAAGGATTTTTTCTTTTGTTTTTCTTTCAGTATTTCTTCAGGAAGCTCAAGAACAATTTTTCATGAGAATTAACTTATTTCTAAGGTTGTGATTCACAGCAAATTTTATGTACACACTATCAACAGGTAAATTGCTTAGGGAGCCAGCTGTCTTACTATACAGCATGGCAGTGGAGCAGATCTGCTAGTGGAGGTGTTCTAGAGTGCCTGGAAGGATGGATGAGGACAGCTCAGACTCCAGGTGGTCTTCCTAGCTTTGGTAGCAGGAATAGATGGAAAGAGATGCTACACATATACACCCACGATTCTGTATCAGTGGTCAATGCTGTGCATATTATAACTGTGTAACTGAGTTTTTCTTATTATTAGGTGAACCAAAAAAATCAAGCTATTGATATAAACTCAAAATATTTTTGATTGGTTTTCTTTTTCTTATTAAATAAAAGAAAAAAATCAATTAGACTGAATGATGACTCATTCCATTCCAAGTGGATTATATCCTTTTGGGGTACTTCTTGAAGATTCTCAAAATCATTGAAAGATCTTTTGTTCCATTTTAGACTCAGTAGTAGATAAACTTCATAGTAGATTTACTGGGAATGTCCAAGACGTGCTCAGGGATCATTTTTTAGCATAAGGAAATTTGAGCAGATGTATTCCAGCTTGAAGGGAAGAATGCTGATGGCCATGCCGATATGTGATGTGATTTGCCTTGTATCACTGTTATTGTCACTGTTTCATTTACAAAGTACCGTGGCTTTTTAAAACAATTTGTCAATCAGATGCGAGAGAAGATCTTCCAAGATGTCTCAACTTGAGAATGCCCTAATCAAGTAGTTATGATGTCCTTCTGTCTGACTCAATGAATACTTCATCCTGTCATTAACAGGAACAACATCAGCAGGAGAAAATCCTGATGTCACTGTGAAAGGCACTCTCTGGGTGTTACAGGCTCAGGGCTTTGTAGGCAGTAGACTAATTTGAACCTGTGTTACGTCTGCCTTAACCAGTCTTCTGAATAAGAGGGTTGCTCTTCTCCCTACCCAGTGTTATGAATCCACAGCCTTTTGTCTTGTTGGCTTTTATAAAAATTGTTGCAAATTACCTTTATTACAAATGCTGAAACTATTTGTTTTCACATTTCTTAAATGAAATGATGTAACATTTTTAGAAGCTGAATATTTTTCATCAGCCAAAGGCATTTGGCAAAATCAAGCCAAATTTCTTAACTGTTTGGTCTCCTTAGCACCACATTTTTTATTAAGTGAAAATTACAGATTTTTTTGTCTTACTTTTGAAATTGTTTTTATTGTCAATTGATCAGATTGCAGTAGAGGATTTTGCATATTAAGAAAATTTTGAACTTTGCAAGGTATTACCCAAATGTCACAAAAAAGAATTTTATCATAACTAGTTCTTTCTGTATGTACCAATTAAAAAACTGGAGCTGGACCTGAATCTGGACCTGAATCTGGTCTAGTACACCTAGTACAAGAAAGGTTCAGACAAACTGAATTAACTCCATCAAAGGATCACCTAGTGAATTAGGGGACTGAACCACATGCAAAACTGAGGTGGATGGATTTGTTTAGCCTTGAGAAGAGAAGGCAAAGGTAGTGGTGGGGGCATATCTTACTGCTGTCTTCAGCTACCTAATGAGTAACTGAAAAGAAAACTCTTTGAGGTGTATAGATAAAGGACACAAGGGGTAATGGCCATAAGTTATGTCAAGAAAGATTTGATTATTTGTTAGGAAAAATGTTTTGCAGTGAAAGTGGTCCAGCACTGGAATGGATTGCTCCATCCTTACTTGACTGGGCTGGATAAGATGTCATTCTCTCTGTCTGACTCTGTGAAGACTTGATGTGAAAGCAGAACTTGACTGAACAAAGCCCTGAGCACCCAATCTGATTTTTCAGTTGATTCTGCATTGAACAGGAGGTTGGACTCAAGGTTCCTTCCTCCCAGTCTAAATCAATCATAGGACTTAGACGAATGTCTCATTTCTTTGAGACTTTTGTTGGAATAGCAAAATATCAATGAGCGGGGGATCTGCCTGGCATGAGCTTTGTCCCTTGTTGTAACTTCAAGCAAGTACATGAATTCTGGTTACATGTTCTAAGGAAATACTCTTAAACTTGTTACTTGAAATACATGTAAATAATGATCCGTTCTATTCTTTGTTATTTTTTTCAACTACTTTCCACTTTTGGGTGAAGCTTGCTCCCTGCTCCCATACTAAATAGGAAGTTTTCAGAATGCTGGAAGCATTTGAATTGACAGAACAACCTATGGGCTAAAATAACAGCTTGTGATTCAGATTTAACTACAAGAGGTTGGCATCCCAAACTTGCCTTTGTTGCATTTTCTGTCACTAATGGTTGGGGAGGCAGATTTATCACTGGCTATTAAAGCCATCCAGATGTACTGTTTCAAATTTTCCTCAAAAGTTGAAGGTTTCATTTGACTGGATGAGGAGCAATTGAGTTGTGCAATGCTACATGAAGACTTTTCGTTGTCTTTCTAGGGTTGGATTTATAGTCCATATTCTTGAAAGGTCTCAGCTGGGCATGTGGTCTTTTTTCTAGAAAACTCAGGTGTGAATACAAGGTTGACCCAATGGAAACCTGTAGAATATTTATTAAAATAGCAAGATTATCCGAACTGATTCAGTCAGAAACATATGCTGCAAAAAGTTGTATTTAAACAAATTTACTTTTACTGTCACCTATTTGGACTTTCCTTGCTTGATGAATAAATAAATTAACACTTTGACATTCCTTCTCTGCGGAGAGGGAGTCGAGGAGAGGCGGGAGGAGTAGAGGCGAGAGTAGAGGGAGAGGCGAGGACGCGGAGGGAGAGTTGAGCTGGCGAGGAGCGGAGGCGATTCTCGGGATCGAGGAGTCGAGCGCGAGTAGAGAGCTTGATCTTCGAGTCTCTCGTGGAGGGAGAGTGAGCGCGGATGATGCTCTCTAGCCGTGATCTGCGCTGTTCTCTTTTATCTCGTGATCTCTGATTCTGCTCTTCTCTTCTGCTCTCTTCTCTTCTCTTCTCTTCTCTTCTCTTCTCTTCTCTATCTTCTCTCTCTTCTTCCCTCTTCCTCTCTCTTTCTCCCTTCTTCCTTTCACTCTCCCTCTCCCCTTTCCCCCTTCCCCCTTTTCCTTCCCTCTCTTCCTTCCCCTTCTTCCTTTCCTTTTTCCTTTCTTTTCTTCTATGCAGTCTGTTAGTTGGGAATAATACTCTGTTCTTCTCTTTTTTTTCTGAAGGGTGGAGTATCCCTTTCCTGGAGGGAGAGGCAGGTTTTTGCTTGTTCACTCAGATGCATGCCGAACTTCGGAGCAATGCGTTTACTTCCCTGATTGTTTCTGTCATCTTGCTTCAACCTTGTACTGAATTCTTCATCCTGCATTTTCCTTTCTTTGCTTAGATGGAAGCTTGCTGCTGTGTTTGTTCCACCCACGAGCTGACGTGCATGCTAAGCTTTAGCAACTGTGCAAGGCCTTAATGAATCAAGTCCTTACATCATGCATGTGACAAGGTTCATCATGCTGTCAAGTAAATTGCAGGGCAGTGATCTCAGAGCCAAACTTACACAGTGTGTGTGAAACTGCTACGCAAAATTATGCCTGCAGTATGGTATGTATACCTGAGCCAACTAATGGAATAAATAATAGTGAAAGGAGCCTCTAGTAGATTATGAAAGCCTGTCTAGCGTCTTCAACCATCCTGTTACCTAAACCAATAAAGTGAAAACCACAGTTGTCTACATGCGTGTCTAAACTTTGTTTTGAGTAAACAAAACTTTAGTTTCCAAAGTTACTCAATGACAAAATTGAGATTTGCCTGATAGGCTTCTTCCAAATCCTCAGACTCAAATCCCTGCACATGTTGTTGTCATAATGCTTCGTGCTATTATGAAAACACCTAGATCCTGGAAAATACACTAATAAACTAGTATATTTTAGTAATTTTTGAATAGTGATTATGCACTGAAGAGCAACAAAAAGGGGTAGATCTTGGAGTGAATGAACTATCTATGTATGCTTATAGAATCTCCAGTCCTCCAAACTTAGGCACACTGTGACAACTTGAAAGTCTGATTTTTCAGCCTTCAACAATTCTGTCCATTATCCCTTAACAGGTAAACGATTAACACTTTAATCTTTTACATCATAAATGTTATGTAAGAATATGTGTTTGTATGTTTCTATTTAGAACAAATTATTTAGCTTTCTGTGTCTTGAAAAAAAAAAAGACTATTGTGTAAACAGTGAGTAAAAAATCTGATTTAATCAGCAATTGTATCCAATTATTTATGGGATTGCTGTATGGTTCGGGCACCTAAAAAAACCAACAGGGTTTGGCACTCACAGAGCCTATTTCCGTTGCAGGTACATGTCAACTTTGTATTCACATCCGGATTTTCCAGAAAAAGGACCAAAGGAGATTAATCAAGAATTGATGAACTCTGTGAGTCACAACCCACTTCTGCTGCTCACTCCTCAGAAAGTCAAACGCTACATTGAAGCACTGTGGAATAAAAAAAGCTCAGGACAGCCTGTCACATTCACAGATATCTTCGGAATGCTAATAGGTGAAACACTTATCCATAATGTGAGTGCATTTTTATGATTATTGGAGTTGTGAAACTATTGTGTAATAAGTCTGATGCTTTTTTTTTTTTTTTTTTTTTTTAAATATTTAAAGTTATAGTTGAGTGGATACTAGATAATAAACTCATAAAATACCTTCTTGCTCCGGGATGTGTTTCTGAATGGTACTCATTTCTTTAAGAGCTAGGAAAACATCATGCATTCATGTGCAGTGGAAATGAACTCAACTGCTGGATATTTGCAGCATCCTTTTAGCATTATATATCATACATGAAAATTACAGCTCAAGCATTTTCAACAAAAGTTTACAAAATATTGCAACCCCTTTATGCACATTTTGCTATAAGAAAAGCAGCATTTACTTAATGAAATATTACTTACAAGGGGGAAGACCAGATACACATCTCTAGTATTGTTTTTTCTGAGAAATAGCAGCAACACTTCATAGCGTTGTATTTTATTATTGACAAATCCTATTTGACTGAATTGAGCACATAGTCTTCAAGTTCAAGCGAGTCAAGTAAGCAGAATTTAGATTTGATTTTATCATAAGATTGCAATGTGTTAATAGATTCACAGACTTGTTTTATATATACACTTACATATTTCATAAGTGTACATTACAGTTAGTTTTTAAACACTAAAATACTGAAAAACAGGCAACATAGCTTTTAGTAAATGATATATAAAGTGAGTTTCTGACGATAAAGGAGTGTTGATGATCCTTTGAGGTTGGTTAGAAGTCCCTGTTTATTAAGGAGTTAAACAAATGCACAGATATTTAGCTTAAATCTGAAGCTGACACACTTGGTGAAAAATGGATATAAAGCTCTTGGTTATTCACAGATAACGTTTCCTAGTACTATTATGCTGTAATTATTTTCAGTCTGTTTTTGGTTGCGGACACCAGAATATTGTTTGAGGAAGATGCAGGCCTTTGCTTAGCAAATATAAGCCTCTTAATGGTCTGTTTGCTTTTCCTAGTGACAGTCTTTCCTGACTTCTCAGAAACAGCATAGATTGGAAAACATGATCATTAATGACAGTTCTGAATAAGAGAAGGTTTTTCCTAGTTTTATTCTTTAAAGTAACGGAGAGGAAGAATTTGCACTGTCCAACAATACAGTTTTGTTTGTGGTCATGTTATCTTGGATTCTATAATGTGTTATATAATGATGCAATGCACCTTCCTATCAACTCTTTGCCTACTCCTTTCCTCCTGAATTGTGCAGATAAAAGGCATTCAAGCAAATTGCTTCCTTTTACAAATTCTTTTGGTCTGTTTTTCTTGGAAGTAAACAAATTTGCCCATTTTCCTGTATTTGAGAACTCTAGAAAAAAAAAGTAGTCTCTGAAATATCAGCAGGCTGTTATAGGATCCTTTTGGACATAACTTCTTTCTTTTTGTGCAGAGAATGGACACCACTCTGAGTAACATGAAGGAGAAAATCAATAAAGCACAGTGTGCTCTCCCACTCTTTACATGTCTCCATGTCAAACCAGATGTCTCAGAGCTTATGTTTGCAGGTATGTTTTCAATCTGTGTGGAGTCATTTGAGAAAAGGAGAGAGATGTGCGTGGTTGTTTTTGAAAAACTTCCGAGAATAATTCCATCATGCAACTTGGGTACACTTTGAAATTATTATTGTCATGGCAAGGGTTGGGAAAGAATTTGGCATGATACTAAACATTCCTTGGGGCTTAACAAAATTCTCACTGTTGTGAACCAACTACAGGGAGATTTAATTTAAAACAAGAATAGGAAGCTGTGATGCCAAAGTATATACCAAAGCAACGCATCATAAGGACAGTTGTGATAGTTTTAGAATATGATGGGGAAATGGACATGTGCTCAGTGGCTTCTAGGAATCTGACAGCAGAATCTGATAACAAGGAGTTACTCAGGAGTAAGCAAACAGATCCTTATGTGGATGCTAATTTGGTTGGTGCAGTACGTGGGCACCTGTCTATCAGAGTTACAGGCTTTAGAGAACAGATATTGAATAGGCATATTCCTCGTGACATATCCTGGAATTGAGCCTTTTCTTGGCTTTTAAGATGCATCTTTACTTGTCTGTATTACCAAGTAAAATGGAAAGACAAAATGAATGTATTTTAGGTCAACTGCCTTTTTTCACTCTTTTTTTGTCCCTGGAAATGAGTCCTACCACTGTTTTCGGTTTCTGTGGAATGATAAGTGGTGGTCAAGCTTTGTTCTCTATCTTCTACAAAAAAAAAAAAAAAAAAAAAAAAGATTTCCTACCAACTGAAAAGACTGTTGCTTATACAGAAAGTAGGTAAGCAGATTACAGGAGTCAAAATAAAAAAGTGGTGTTTCTCCAACAGCAGAAAGCTGCTTAACATTAATATATCAAACAGTAAAGGGAAACGTTTTCAGACAGGCAGGATTATTCTTCTTTATAAGAAGACTGAAATTAAAAATGAACTCCTTTTTACTTCTTGCACAGTGTAAAGTACTGTTGGTAATATAAAAGAGGCTTTTGCTTTCATTTATTTCACAGCTTTTAGTGCCATCCAGTAGCCTCACTTGAGAAACGATCCAGTTTTGCTAGGTGCTGTACAAACACAGGAATATATATGCCTATGTAGTTATCTGTGACTGAGGAGGGAAGCACCAAGCGGCTTGCCCAAGGTTTAGAAATCAAATAATATCCGGATTTCAGAAAAAGAGTATGTGGGAGAGTTGCTGCCAAAAATTTCTTCATAATAGAAAATGAAGTTGTAAATTAATTTATAGTTTTTATAGAAGAATGTCTGCATTTTTCCTTAAAAGTCTGAAGGCTTTTCATTTGAACATATGTGTAACTGTTTTGGTTTTTGATGATGTGGTGGTTTTACTTGGGTGGGTGGCCAACTTCCACCATGGCCGCTGTCTCACTACCCCTCCTCAAAGGGGAAGGGGGAGAAAATATGACACAAATTGCTCAAGGGTTGAGATAAGGATGAGGAGATCACTGAGATCACTCAACAATTATTGTCACAGGCAAAACAGACTCAGAGTAGGGAGATAGTAAGATTTATTGCCTATTACTAACAAGCTAGAGAAGTGAGAAACAAAGGAAAGAAACCAAAAATGCCTTCCCCCCATCCACCCTTTTCTAGTTCCTCCTCCCAAGTGGCGCAGGGGAATGGGGGAATGGGGGCTGTGGTCAGTCCCTGATGCTTCATCTCCACTGCACCTTCTTGGTCACTCTCTGCCCCTGCTCCACGTGGGGTCCCCCCATGGGATGTTGTCCTTCCCGAACTGATCCTGTGTGGGCTGCCCACAGGCAGCAGATCCGCAAGTACTGCTCCAGATATGAGTCCGTACCATGGGGTCCATCCCTCAGCAGCAAACTGCTCGTCTCCACAGGCTACAGGTCCAGCACGGAATCTGCTCCAGCAGCAGTCTTCCACAGGCCGCAGCCTCTGTCAGTGCTGCTCCACCTGCTCCACCATGGTCTCCTCCACGGGCTGCAGCGTGGAACCCTGCTCCACCGTGGTACTCCATGGGCTGCAGGGGGACATCCTGCTTCACCATGGTCCTCACCACAGGCCACAGTGGACTTCTGCTCCAGTGTTTGGAGGACCTCTCCCCCTCCTTCTTCACTCACCTTGGTGCCTGCAAGGCTGTTTCTCACTCCTCTCTCTCTCCCACCTGCTGTGTCCAAAACTTTTTTTTTTTACCTGTCTTGAATATGCTCTCACAGTGGTGCAAAGAACCTTACTTATTGGCCTGGCTCTGGCCAACAGCGGGGCCCTTACCTAACATGGGGCAGGTTCTGGATTCTGAAGGTCATTCACTACAGATGACCTTCTGTTTTCTGAGGAATTTTATTTGGGTTCCTAATTTGTTCTTTCTAAAAAACAAAATGATATTTCGGTAATAATCATAGAATCGTAGAATCAGTAAGGTTGGAAATGGTCTCTAAAGAAGTCCAGACCTACCTGAAGGCTGGTCAAGTTTCTCAAGCCTTATCATTCTCAAGCTTACAAAAAAGGCATTGCCTCTGTCAATGGATCTTGTTTTCCCTTTTTGAGACCATCACATTTGTTATCATATAGAATGCTAGATCTTGATTGTTTCTGTTTAAGCTTCTTTTCTTCTTTTAGAACTGAACAGCTACTTCTTGTATGAAGTATGTGGAAGGTTTTGAATAAAAATGTTTACACTTTCTTATTTACTAGATTATAGTCATAGGTGAGATCATGTTGTTTCAAGTTGAAATGCATTAATTATATCAGGTAACATTCCTTTGAGAAGTGATGGTGCAAGATTTCATGTAGCTAGTAATAGTTTTCATGCCCCAGGCTCTGCATGTTTTCCCAACCCATAGTATTCCTGACCCTGGTGGCTCCGGCCATACTCAGAACTGCAATAATCATTATAACTGAACATAATTGCAGTGATTTAGTTAAGAGACAGCTTTTTATTTTATTTATTTATTTATTTATTATTATTAAGATAGCTTCTTTAATGATAAGAGATACTGATATCCAGTGTTAAAGAGGGGAGTGTAATTTAATGTTTGGCTTTGGTATTGCATGCTTCCATCCCTCTAACAGCCTCTTTTGCCACTTCTCCTGCTGCTGTAATGCCAGACCAGCTGAAATTTGGATTATAGGGTTTTGCTCTTGAAACTACTTGTAGTAAACTGACGGTAGCTATCAGCATTTGTGTGAGTGTGTGTGTGTGTGTGTGAGTGCTGTCTGTGCATTTATGTGCCCTATCCTGAAGCTGCTAGGTGTATATTGTTGGGAAATTATTACCTTTGTCTTCCCTTCTGAGAGCCAGCTGAAGGCTGGTATGTATATGCTCTTACATGAGACCACATCTAAACTGCAATCAGTGAGCACGACTGAGACTTTTGACTTCAGTACATTTTGGCTCAAGCCACTAGCAAGGAACTAACCTGCTTAACTGAGACAGAAATTCCATGAAACACCAAGTATTTCTCTTTGTATAGGGTTCCACTCTCACTTTCTGACCTTCGGGGAGAGACTTGTCTCTTGGGACATTCAAGTCCTGCTCATTTGAATGGCTGCTATCTCAAGGAGCTTCAAGAATGGCAGAATTAAAGTCCTTTAATTTTAAGACAGACATCTTATTTCCTGAGTGGGGTACATGATTTGAGAAATAATCATCTTTAGAGGAAAAAAAAAAGGTGGACTATCACAGATAAAATTAATTCTAATTCTAAATAGTTTAATTATCAACATGGTTCTGAAATATATATCTGCCAACTGCTGTTGATGGTACTCAAAGGGAAATAGCTTTAAATTCCTGGACTGGGTCTTCAAAGGAATTTCCCTCTGTTCCAATAACAATGAAAATTTATTTTTGTGTGGTTGATATGGAAAATAGGATGTTGTATCTGACAATGTAGATAGTGTTGCCCCACCAGTGAAACTCTCACTGTAGTCATAATTAAATCTTTCCTTTTCAGTACAAGTGGTTAACGTTCTGGTTAACGTTTCAATGGAAATACTGAATATCTGGATAAGTGGATGGCATCCTATGACCTGGGGGGATTTTTAAAGCTCTTTCTTTTGACTTTCTGCTTCAGATTTTTTTTTTCTAATTTAGTTATAGAAGCAGTCAAATTGATGACTATTAAAAATGTGGAAGTTAAGATAGACGATTGAATGAAACAGTGAAAACGTAGAGTATTTTTGTTCCTTTTTGCTCACTTTTTGAAGTGAGTTCTCAGATATTAGCAACTCCACTGGTACCAAAGAAAATATTTCAAAGTCAGCTAAAAATCCATTTTCAAAAAGGACATACACTGTAGAATGGAAATTGCTTTTGAAGTTTTTTTGATTAAATCAGAAACAACATTAGAACATTTTGTTGTCATAATTTGGTACTAATAATTTCTTTGACTGTCTCTTAGCTTTGCATTTTCTTGTTGGAAACTATTTTTGATGGAATCCAAATGTCTCCTCTTCTGTAATCCTTCACAACATAACAACCTTCTTTGGGATTTCAAACAATGTTTCTGCTGCCTTTGTTGTCTTCATCTGCATATTTGGATGATATATTTGGTAGGATCCCAGTGAAAAGAAAACTTTGCTATGTTGGCACTTCATGTGACGGGGAATCGCATGGAAGCATGAGATGAAAAACAGATGTCATTTTGTTTTTTCTCATTCCTGATGGCTACTTTTTTACATCTGTTTTTCCAACCTCCTATTTTTCCACCAAATTTTGTTGTGATAAAAGAGAATGAGAATTCTTTCTTCACTGTGGCATGAGATTGTTCTTCATTTGAAATAAAACTTTTGACTTTGCACGATGTAAGAGTCATTACTGTTGGTTGTTTAGCATTTAATTTACCGTCAGTTACTTTCCTTGGACAGGGTCTTATTCATTCAGGTATGCTCATCCTCTATTTCAGATTGATATTGCTAACAGAACAAACTTTTTATGTCTTATTTTGCAGACTGGGTGGAATTCAGTCCATATGAGATTGGTATGGCAAAGTATGGCACTTTTATGTCTCCTGATTTGTTTGGAAGCAAGTTTTTTATGGGGACAGTGGTGAAGAAGTACAATGAAAATCCTTTGCATTTCTTAATGGGTGAGTATGCGACAGAAGGAAACTTAAAACTAATTTCAGTAGCGTTGAGTAGTAGTGGTTTTAAATGCATTCACAGTAAGAATAAAATGAGAAGTACAGTTATTAATTTGCTATTTGCTGGAAGATAGACGTTTGAAAGATTTCAGAAACATGGGTTGGAGTTTTGAGGTTTTGGTTTCTGGTAAGCCTGAGTTTGTTCTAAAATCAGGGGTCTGTTCAGAATGAAAGCAACTACTTAAATAGTGCGGTAAGTGGTGGTTTCTTTTTTTTTTTTCTCCTTTCTGTTTTCTTTTTTTTTTTTTTCCTTCTACCAGCCTCCATTCATTGTTTACTTTTCCTTTTCAGGTGTCTGGGGCAGTGCATTTTCTATATTATTTAACAGAGTGCTCGGTGTCTCCAATTCCCAAAATAAAGGTCCCACCATGGAAGAAGAATTAGGTAATTTTAGTAAACACTTGTACTACTAAGCAAAACAATTGCTAACAAGATTCAGTGAATTCTCTGTGGAAGGATGGCCCTGTGCAGATAGTCATTTTCAGAATATGTAATGCAAAGAAGTTTAACTACTGGTATTGCTAGGTGCTAGTGAGGTCAGGGAAAAAGGATTAGTAATTTTCTTTCTTTCTTTCACTTTTGCTTCTGATCAGTATCAGAGGTACTGAACATCACATGAATATGTCCATCTAATATTTTCATTGAGGTAGGATTCCAACACCCTTTCTTATGTTTTGCTAGTTTTTGGAGATTAAAAGATGACAAATAGCTACTTATAAATTTCTAAACACTGTACTTTGCTATTGTAGGAGTTAAATGAGTAAAAAGAAAATTTATAGTCTCTGGATTGTTAGATTATTCCTTTCTAGCCACAAGCTGTTGGTATGTGATCCTTTGCTTACTAATTCAGTGAGTTCGGTTCCACTGCTAATGCTCAAATGGCAAAATAACTGTAAGAAAAGAGTTGCAATTTGCTTGGGCTAGACTTTATTATGCTTTGTTTGAGAATGTTGTTGATAATGAAACAGTTTCTTTTATAAGTTTTTCCTATTCAGAGGGCATTACAGGGAAATGTCTTTCAAACAAAAAATAAATTGTACTAGACAGCCAGATTTTTCTAAAAGGGTGGAGAGAGAGTGCAGACTGAGGTGATTAAAAAATAAATCCCTAAACTCCTAAGCTATACCTTTCTCCTAATAGATGTTTTTCAGTTGTTTGATACTGTATTATTTATGGATGAAAATGAAACCTGTTCCTCCAGGATCGTGTTTCTAGTACACCTTGTGAATGTTAACACCTACTAATGGAGGATCTTTGTCAATGACTGATAGTGGAAGGGTCTATGTTATGCTTTTTAAGATTCTGAGAGACAGAATTTTATCTCCCATCCCTAGCTGAAGTCTGTATTCATTTCACATAAAATTTAAAAAAGTATGCACAAATATGGAATAAGATGTGAAAATACTGATTTGAGCAGAACCACAATCTATTGCCAGAGCTGCAAATGTCCCAGTAAAATCTTGGTACCACCAAAGTGAATGGCAAAATGCCAGTGGACATAGAAAAGACACAGTTGCACACATCAGGTATTATTCATACGTAGAAGCAATAAATAATCAATTTTTCATGGGGTTTGCTTTAAAGAGATTATTTGATGTCCAAAAATTGTATTTCTTCTTGTTACCTTCCTTTTGGGGTCACCGGTGTTTATTTTTACCTGTTTTTCATGTTATTGCTTAAGAATTCGTACATGGTAGGCATTTGTGTGTGCTTGTCTACTGTTGATATTTTTGGGTAGTGTTTGAGAAGATCTACCAAGTATTAAAAAGTATCTAAAGAAAAATACATGATGACAGGAGCTCTTTTCTTTCTGTAGGTATTCTTATAGTCTTGTATGTAAGTCTAAGAGGGCATAATCCTCTTCAGAAAAAAACAGTAATGGTGGTCATTTGTATTTATTTTTCATTACGGAATTTAACAAAGCTGTATTTTTTTACACTTGATATTACAGTGAATCTCTCTTCAATCTTCTCTTTCAACCTCGTATGCCTGTAAGAAATCAGATTTTATCCTTGAACAAAAACTACAGTTAAACTTGCCATTGCTTTGATACTGCATATGATAGAAATTACAGACTAATTGATGTGTGTGCCATCATAGAATAGAATCATAAAATACCCTGAGTTGGAGGGGACGCACAAGGATCACTGAGTCCAACTCCTGGCTCCACACAGGAACACCCAAAAATCAGACCCTGTGTGTGAGAGCACTGTCTAAATGGTCTTCGAGCTCCAGCAGGCTTGGTGCCATGACCACTGCCCTGGGGAGCCTGCCCCAGTGCCTGACCGCCTCTGGGTGCAGAACCTTTTCCTAACACCCAGCCTGACCCTCCCCTGTCCCAGCTCCATGCCGTTCCCTTGGGCCCTGTTGCTGTCCCCAGGGAGCAGAGCTCAGTGCCTGCCCCTCCACTCCCCTTGTGAGCCCAACAGAGACCAACATCTAAACTAGCCTTCTGTGAGAAAAAGTAGATGATTATTTACTTTCACTTTTCCTTGGGAAAAATAATTACTTGATCATACAATCAAGTTCATTCCAATTCAGTTTATTTCAACTGGTTCCAAATTTGAATTAAAGAGATAATTCCTAACATACATTATACAAGGGAACAAAAGGGTTTTATTTTCCAGAGGTCTCTTTGATACAATTTCAGCACTGGACCTCAGCTTACATCTCCAGTTTCTGTAGAATATGAGCTTCCAAGATGAGGCTGCTCATAAAAAATAGAAAATTGAATGTATTTCAAGAAAGACTTTCTTCCATAATTTTAAACTTGGTTAATTACTTTTTATGTGGTATAAACAAGACTTCAGCAAAAATAATGTTGTCAGTCCATAATCCATTTTCACTTGGGAGTGGAATGCGTTTCTTTTTCCATACTCATTTTTGACATTGAAATAATTCTCAAGATAGTGGTGAACAGTTCGTAATGACTTTGTGGTTATTTTAGAAACAAAGCTTTAACTCTAACAAAATACATATTTTTGCCAGAGGAGTTCCTTCATTTCTGTTTTTATTTCTTCCACTTCATGTTTTGAGGTAAAAACAATTGTCTCTTCTGCCTTTGTAACTGCACTGGCCTTTATTTTTCAGACATACTTGAGTAACACTTTAATAGCCCTCTTGGCTTTTGTTTTTTCCCCACTATTTTAATGGGTTCATATATGTATGAATGAGGCTGTGTTCTTCTTTTTCAAAAATTAGTATTGAATTAACAGAACTCCTGTTGTCTTTCAAGTTTGCTAGGAGTTATTGAGACAATAAAAACTATAAATTTTATTTAAGGTGAATGCATCAGATACGTGATGAAGTAGCAGGTGGTGTGTACTGCTTTACATTTTCCTTTTGCTTTCTCAGCCTTTTGGCTTATCTTCTTAGTGCAGGAGCTATGCAAAAATTGCAAACTACAGCCAATATATTGTGATCAGATTCTGACTATAGAGATGTCCACAACAGATGAAATCTCTTAGCTGTATTTCCTGTTACGAAAAGTATCAGTTTTATGCCTTATTTTTTAAAAAACTTAGCTATTTTGACAATTAAGTCATAGCAGTTTCAAGTAATTTTTTATTTCTTTCAACAGAAAATATTAGACTAAAGCACCTTGTAAGTAATGACAGTTCAGACAGTGAAGATGAATCACAGCATCCAAAAGGTAAGGAAATCACCACATTTTATTTCATGGTTTACTTACTTCATCAGCTTTCTTGTAGCGTATTCAAGTTTGTGGATTGTCAAATCCCATTCTTAGTCATATCAAGAGTCCCTTAGAAAAGAAGGGACTTCTAAGGGACTTCCCTTTTCTAAGTCCCTTAGAAAAGAAGGTCATTTATACCAATAGTAAAACTTGCCTGCTTAGTATAAGGGTCTTAAAGAAGCCAGTGGCTCAGCAAAATAGAGAAATCTTGAACAAGAGACCTTAGAAGGCCTTGGCTTGGCCTCGTGTCTGCTGCTCAAGTCAATGACAAATTCTCTTGCATGTCTTCAGTCTTGGTATCAGCACAACAAGGCTTCACAGTGCTCTTAGATTTCATGTACATCCAAAAATTAGCCTGTTTGAGTCAGGGATCTCCTGAAGTCCAGCAAGATACTGTGCTCAGAGGCATGTTTGAATTGTTATCAGCACAGCAAACTAGCTCTACCCGTTGTTGTAAGGGTTACTTGTCAAATACTTGAGAATGGTTTACTTCGTGTTTACAGCATTCACAGATGTCTTTTAGCTCCAGTACAAATGACATCTGACACAGGGAATTCCAAGCTGGCACAGTGTTTTAAACAGTGCCCAAATCCAGTTTCCCAAAAGAGGCACAAGCACATGTGGAATACTGGACAGTGGGAAAAAAAAAGACCCTATTAAAAAATTTAGGCACCTGAACCACATACAGGTCTGTGATTTTAGTCAAGTTCTCTATCTCATTCTAATAATGCTTTCTGTATTTTATGATCCTTTTGGAGAATAGTGATTTTCACCTGAAAATTTTGATTATTTTTTGAAAACTAAAGCAAGGACAGGAATGAAGCTCTTCTTTGTAATTTTAGGATCTGCAGGAAGAAAACAAAATTCTGTGAAATGAGACTGTGATTGGGTCATTAGCTCAGCTGAATGATTACTTCTTCACTTCCCCTTATGTGTAAAATAATAGAGAGTGGGTGATACCACATCTTATGTTTATTTGCAGATTTCCTGTTTAAGTACTAGAAGCACTGTAAAATCCAGCAGCAAGAAACACTACATTTCTTTCAGTTTGTAGCCATAGTGGACAACCTACAAAGCTGATTTGTATGCACTTAGTAATCTTTCTTAATTCTATAGGATACTTTTGTACAGATGTTGGACCTCAAAACCCTGTGGTGTTTGATGTTTGTTTTCTCTCTGTTTATATAAAAAGCCTGAGCCTGCATTATTTTCTTACACAAAACAATCAAAAAAGTCAAGTTATGACAGGTTATGAATGTAAGGTAACACCAGTCCAAGTCATTTTAATGTCTATAGCATCTGTCTAGCTATAGACATCCAAGTTTGGACATTTTATTGTACTCTTTGATTAAAACTTAATATTCATTGTAGTCTATAGTTTTTTTAAATGATATTTTCAGATATTGTAGAATTGCTGTGTGATAGCATTCTTGTTTATACAGATATTACAGAATTTATATTTAGTATCTGCAACTTTATATGTACCCTGTATCTACTGTGGCTGCAAAGAATGCATCTAAGTCTGTGACTGCTTGCAGTAAAGTGAAATACAAATGACCTCTTTTTGAGCAGAGGCTACCCTAAGGTCTTTTTCTAAACCTAAGAGAGTGGGATTTTCCAAGGACAAAGTAGAGGGATGTTTTAAGGAGAATAACGGAATCTGCTTCTGTAAAAGATTCAGAGGACAAACTTCGGCTCCTTAAGGAAAGCTGTTTCTAGCAGTTTGCATTACACCCAAAGGATGGAGGAGGGTGTAATGCACATCAGGATGAATTTAGGTATGCATAGTATGGACTTTCCTGATTCAAGTTTGTTACCTGAGCACAGGAGAGTTTACGTTTTGGCTGTCAGCACAGCTAAAGTTAAATCCTCATTGCCCTTGCCAGACTAACTAAGAACAGTTCAGGTCCTCTAACACAGTCCCAGCATATTTTCCTGATGGACACATCTACACTACTGTACCGCAATGAGAAGTTTCACTGGCCTGTGAAGGTAAGAGGATGATTTCTATTTTCTTAGTAAAATTCTTGCAGCAAAGCTCCTTTGTTTAATCCATAGCTTCTTGAAAGAAGGATATAGTTCTTTGTAATAGGTCCTTTATTTTACTAGACCCTGATTTTACTAGATCTTGGTTTATATTCCACACATTAACAGTCTCACCATTGGTTATTTTCATTTTCCTCTACAGGCACTGAGAATTCTGAGGCAAACCAAGAATATCAGAACAGCAGCCAAGAAAGCTGGGTGCAGCGAATGCTGATGGCTTTGGTGGGTGATAGTGCCCTTTTCAACACCAGGGAAGGGCGTGCTGGAAAAGTGCACAACTTCATGCTGGGATTGAACCTCAACAGCTGCTACCCACTCTCTCCTCTGGCAGACCTTCTAACTCAGGAATCTGTGGAAGAAGATGAACTAGATGCAGCCGTAGCAGGTTAGTTCACAGAAAGCCCATGTTGCTGCATATTTATTGTGAAGCTGTGAGTTCCTCAGTGTGGTAACATTTACTCAAACTGTGAAGTGTATGGTGGCTAGGACAGCAGCTGCACAGAATTAGGAATCATATCTGATCAGTATTTTGAAGATTTCCTGTAGACAGTGTTACTTATACTCTGCTCATTGGAAGCCTATGAATTTCTGAGTATTCTTCTGGCACTGGTGCCTTTCTTTTTTCTTCCTTGGTAGGAAGAACAGAGCACTGAGTTAAGGATGTGTCTTTCCCCATAGAAAAGTTATATGGGAAGATGCATACTTTGTGGAGCCTCCACACACAGTTTCTGTGATTCAAGTTGCAATGCTTGGGGTTTATTGTTGACATCCTTCAAGTTGAGGAACTGCAAATCTCCATTCCTTCTATGCTGTCATGTGGCAGCACAGCACTGCCAACCATACCTCATAATAATAACAGTCACTCCAGCCCCTATTTTCTGTTCAGAGGAAACAGATTGTCCTAGTTGGTCATTATGCAATAATAAATACCAGATGTCGTTTAAAAGCTTAAGTAGCAGACAGTCTCTAATGTAGATTTGTTAATGTAACAAATCCCTTTGAGTGGTTGTATAGTAATTTCCATCTGTGCTCCACTTTCTAAATATTTTTACCATCTCAGAGGTGTTTACAACTGGGTAATCTTAATATTTATAGTGCTTCTAAAAGAGGCAGGAAAGCGGGTAATAGATTCATGGTAGGAAAAAATGACAGTTGATGAGAATTTTGCCTAATTAAGATGTGGATAATCTTCAGTATCAACTATCAACTTCCTGGGTCTTAATTTTAGATGAAATAAAATGCAGGTTTGACAGAATGAGCCTGCTCCTCTGATACAATTACTTTTGAGTGCCTATCACCTGAAAATTCTCTGGCTAAAATGTCTGGCAGAAGTTTGATTTAGCTGCAATTTTTAGTGTTTGTTGAAGCCCACACTCATAAACCTGAACTAACAAATCAAATCTAACAGCTGCAAATAGTCACAATGTAGCCAAGGGTAGTAGAAAGACAAAATAAAAGATGAAATTTCAGTAGTTGATATAAAATTTAATCATTCAGTAGTGTGATAAGTGTATCCACATTTTAATGGTGTTAGTGAATTTTACTAGTGAATACGTAAGAACCTAGGAGTCCAGAGGAGTAAATAGAAAGGAAACTTTGGAATAAATTTGAAATATTGTGTATTAGCAAGGCACTGGCTGCATTTAAGCATTGCATATTTATTCCTATATTTATTCCTATTGGTGAGAATTTAGCTAGCAGTTTGAGTACAGTGAGAAGTCTCAATTGCTTTAGAACTTTTTTTTTTTTTTTTTTTTTTTTTTTAATTAACAGGCCCCAAAGGGAGAAGTAAGTGAATCAGAAAGGATATCCCTGGAGGTCTTTAAAAGACGTTTAGATGTAGAGCTTAGGTATATGGTTTAGTGGGGACTGTTAGTGTTAGGTCAGAGGTTGGACTCGATGATCTTGAGGTCTCTTCCAACCTAGAAATTCTGTGATTCTGTGATATAAATAATGCTTTACATCTCCAGTTGTCTCAAGCCTTTCACAGACGTTCTGAGTCGGACTGTGGAGAATGAACTGTTATAGGCATAAACTGATCCTACAGGCATTATGGAGGGCAGAATTTAGGCTCTGGAGTACCCTGAAGAGATCCCAGCTGCTTGATCTGAAAGTAAAAATCTGTTAGGAAGTGAAACAGGTACAACCAGGCAGTAGTGTAGAAATGGGATCACATGCTCAGTGTTCCCAGCATGCACATACCTGGTGGTATTGTTCTCCAACAAACCCATGGCATTTAAATATTTCCCTTTTACCAAGAGTACAAATCATACCTGAGTTTTAGGACGTCTGCATGGGTGTGCTGTCTGCTTAGAAGGGAACATTCTTACAGCCCCAGGTTCTGTTCATACAGCAATCAGTGGGATTACTGCTGCTTACTTCAGTGGACCAGCATCTAACTCCTTCCAGTGCAGGAGCAGAGAGTATATATACAAAAACTGCTTTTGCAGTAAAAGTGTGAGATCATTAAGGGCTTTAAGTCAGTGAAAATGCCAACTTAGTTCCTATATTTGAACTATACTGTGATTTTATCGTCTTTTTATTGTGTACCGTAGTTTGGTAATTCTAGCTTTTTAGTGCTTACATTCCTGGTTTATATGCTCAAAATAGTTGGCATCGTTCTGCTGTGGATTCAGTTTTTGCTGAGCATTTTCTTAATTGATCTCAAATATGCTTTAAAACTTTACACCTCATGAATAGTTTAACTGAACTTGGAGTTGTTTTGTTTCTGTGCCTTAGTATTACAACACACCAAAATTGCTTGAGAAAATGCCAAGTGAATAACAATAAGGAAAAAAATAACTCAATCTCTGCTTCCTTACTTCAGTATTTATGGAAACTGTTATAGTAAATGCACGTCAGTAGCAAATGCCCTCTTCATCTCTCTTACTTTCGTTGAAGCTACCGTCTGTGACAAAGGTTGGCCTCCAGAACATTCTCTTTCTTTTATTTCTAAACCATTCTTAATACCCGTTTGTGTATCCAATTACTGCAAATGAGATAGGCATGCTGTGCTGGTTTCACACAGAGCTATACTCCCAAACATGTTGTGCTTCTCTCAGCTGGTAGTTTGGGCTGAAAGCTTCTTGTAATATGGATGCATCTTTTATAAAAGCATGAGCTGAAAATTAATGTCGCAGGCTCTCAAAGCATAAATACTACTTTCAGTCTTCACACTGCTTGATGAATAATAATGGGTTGGTTGAGCAGGGCTACTAGAGTATGTAGAGTGATTGTCCTGGAATCATGTGTTGTAAAATGTAAAAAGAAGAAAGGCTTCTTATTCAGCTCTTCAGAATAACTACAGCACAGGGCATAAAGTAGACAAGGCTTCTTTTAGCACCAGGGACTCACATTGTACATTACACATCTCCCACGGCAATTGCAGCCTCACCTGCAGTGCCCTGACCTGTGGCTCAGTCTGGCTGCTTACCTTATCTCACAGGGTTGGTGTGTGCTGCTTCTGGCCTCCGTCTCCATTGTTTGAATCAAATCAAACTCCATGCCGAGCCTGCCTTGAAATTCGTGTCATTAAGATAAATAAATAGGCACTGGATAACGTTCATTGCTTTTGTAATTCTGGCCCAGTAACAGAGACATAAGTTACATTTAATTTTATTCTCAGTTCAGCAATTACAAGTAGACTTCTAAAAGGAATTATAACCAAAAAAAAAAAAAAAAAGCAAAAATCTTAAGTTGAATTTCTCCTGTAATTACAGGAGTCCATGACTAATAAAAAAAAATGTATGTGGTAATTATAAATTTATTGATGATATTACAGTGGTTTAGCATTTCAAATATCTTAATCTGGGTGGTACAAGTTTTGTTTAAAAGATAATTGATGACTTGATTTTGGCTTCAAATTCAGATTTTGTGAAGTGAACTAAGAGTAAGCTAAAAAGATGTTTTTGTAATTTTTAGGAATTCTATTGAGAATAAGGTTTTAAAATAAACTATAAATTGTGTTTGAAATATTGCCTTTAAAGAAGGAAGGGGGAAACAAAACTATTTTAGTTATCTTAAAAGTATCTGTAGTAGGTGTATGTTTATAACAGTGGGTTTTGAATTATAGTGAATTTGATAAACACTAATATATTTTCACTGATTTATGGCAATTCATGGCTATTAAATATATCTAACTCTAAAATAAGAAGAAAAAAAGGTAACGATGCCAAGTATTTTGAGCATATAAACCAGGAATTCTAAAATAAGCTCTCACTCAGCTCTTTAACACTAGGCAGTCATTTAAAAGTGTTTTCTCTCATGGAAATCAGTGCAAATATTAGGAAATAGGTGGATCATTTCTCATCAAAGTGATGTTTGGTAAAAAATAATAACAGAAATAAAAATTAAAAAATACGTGATCTAAGAATTTTTGCTGCTCATAACTGTACATTTTTCTCATGCATCCTGAAATGAAGAAGGAAAGCTGTTGTAATGAAATAGAATTTTAATCGATTTTGATGGATTTTATTCACATTGCTCATACTTTCAGATGACTTTTATTGCCAATAGGTTGGTGTTAGGAAATTTAATTATACAGGAAATAGTTACAGTGTTCTGTTCATCATTGCTTAGATTACACTGCCCTCTACAGATATAATCATTAGTTTTTAATCAAATGGCCAAAACACGCATTAGAAATAGTTTTAAAATCTAGAGCAAGAAAAGACTGTCAGGAGCAAAGTAGTTAAACTACTGCAGGGGTAGTTTAGCAGTATCCAGGGACTTGGATAAGTGCAAAGATTGCTTGTTCTTTCCTGAGTTGCATTCAGGGAATGTTGGAATTGAAGAGAAAACATATCTTATTTTGCCCTCAGTTTGGTCATTAGGGATAGAAGACTATTTTATACAATACCATGGCAGTAAGTAGCTAATTCTGTTCAGTGCTTAAATTTCGTATACTAATATGAGTTCTCACTTCTTTTTGTTCCTAGTATAGTAATGAATATGAGGTCATGAGGTTTGCAGTACATTGAAAAGCAAGTTGTTTGACTTGTTAGTCTTAATTTTAATGGTCAGAAACAAAGACGAGCAGCAAGCAGGAGCAGAGCCACTTAATAGCTTTGTGGGCAAATTCTAGTTACTTGGGTGAACACGATCTGGGAAGGACAGAAGGTTTGGGAGGAAACCTGGAGGAGAAGGTTGGGCAGGGAGTGTAGGACCAGAGATGTATGTTAGGAATCTGTCTCAACGTCCTGTAAAGACTTTCCTTTGTGTCTTGGGGTTGTTAGGGTTGAAGGGATAAAGCTGGGAATGCAAGGGTCAAACCTGGGCATCTGTCCCCATCCATTATGCTTTGAGCCATCTCTGCTTCTGCCTTGGGACAGGCTGTTGGTGTGCATGGCCTACTGAGGTCCCTGCCAGCCCTGTTTTGTTTCTCCTTCTCCAGTTGTTAAGATGAGAATTAAGGTTATACATATGTTCATGGTATGTGTAGCTGGAACACCAAAGATTAGATTCTGTGGAATGTTCAGTACTTGGGGAAATACTAGAAACCCCATCAAAATTGCAGCTCTTAATTGGTGTTTTCCTGTATTGTTTTGTTTTTATTTGTTCTACATAGATCCCGATGAGTTTGAGAGGATATATGAACCACTAGATGTGAAGAGCAAAAAGATTCATATCGTGGACAGCGGGCTTACATTTAACCTGCCGTATCCACTTATCTTAAGACCTCAAAGAGGGGTTGATCTCATCATCTCTTTTGATTTTTCAGCAAGACCAAGTGATTCCAGCCCTCCCTTCAAAGTAAGTAAGGCAGGCCATTCCTTTCCTTGTGTTAATAAATTTATTTTGACTCTTTCTTCCAGTTTGTTTCTTTCAGTTGGGTTGGCTGCACATTTCATGGTTCCAAAAGGCAATAGTGCCCATCTACAGCATTGGAGCAACTTGTTTCCACATCAAGGCAGAATATTGCGCTCTGCCTTAGTTTCTATATGTGTGACTCACATGATGCAACCGACACAAAGTAGACAAATACGGTTTTGGTTTCTGTAAATCATTGTTTGAAGAAGTAGCTATGTTGCTTTTTATGAAAGTCTTGCCTTCACATTGAACTGCAGAATGTTATGTCAATGGGAAATAATTAAATTTACTGTTGTGCTAGCACTCTAGCTCTGTACAACCATTCTCAGTGATGCAAATGAATGGTTTTCTGTCATCATCTTGTAGAAATGTGTTTTCAGTCTGGTATTGCTAAATATTTAACATTTTGAAAGTGGGACTAACTGTTCATTTTCATGTCTCTAGGATAATCCCAGTACTGGTTTAAGTATAATTCCTAAGACCAGTCATGCCAGAGCAAAACAACTACAGAAAAATACAGATTAAATTACCTGCTTACTTTCTGTAGCAAGTGTCGAAAGCATAGCTGTCTGTCTGTGCAACCTGTACAAGTTCTGCATCCAGACAGCTCTAGTTGGTCAGAAAAGGTTAATATTGGATGATTTGGTAGCTGACATAGAAACAGTAACACTTAAAATGTCTGTTGAGAGGGTCTTAAAGAAGAGGCAACACTTACTGGAAACCCAAGTGAATTTTTAAAAAGAACTTTTATACCTGTTTGAGAAACACCTGGCATTCTTTGTAAAAGTGCTTTATAGACAAATTTCAATTAGAACATGGGAAAAACATTTTTTTCCTTCTTACTACCAAAGGACAAGAGCTCACAGCAACAGTGAAAATAACACCAAAATGAACTCTAGATCATTGTTGTCAAACGCAGAGAAAAACAAGCCTCAGATGACTAGAAAGGAGTAACCTCTGTAATCTCTGGGTCTTGTGGGGGCCACCTGGAAGAGTAGAGCACTGAGAGGAATTGGAGCAGTGCCTTTCATCTTTTAATTGATTCAATCCCACAGTCTACTTTCTTCCTTTAAGTTTCTATTCATTTAAGAATTTCTCTCCTTTTTTGTTGGGACTATTTCCCCTGTCTGCTAGATTTACTGATGCAGTGCCATCATCTCCCCTGAAATGCTTCTTGCCACCCGTTTTTTATGTTCAGCACACGGAGTCTGTGTAAAAAGCTGTTTATAGTTGTCTCTATTAGTTTGCCTAGGCATTCAACTTTCTGTTTCCAGCAGTTGCAATTTTCTGCGCCATTTTGGTGAACATACCATAACATGGAGCGATTGGTTTGAGTATCAGGATGTCATCCTGAAAGTTTTTCTATAAACTGTAATTTTTAAAATGCAAAGTCATTTTACACAAGAAAAGACAATGGGAAAATTAAATAATGCCTTAGGTTTTCGTGAAGCTGCTGGTGAAGGGAATGGTTCATTTGTTTCTGATGCACAAGTATGTGTATAATAAAAAGAGTGACGTACCTCCACTTAATACACAGCTATAGTCCACAGGCAGAGGTTGTATGGTGATGGCCTAAAGGACAGAAACCAGTTTTGTTTACTGACTCTGCAATCCCATTGGCTCTGCTTGCATTACAAAGAGTAAATGTCAGTTCAAGAGTTGGGTCTGTTGTATCTATGGTTGCACTCTAATATACTTTTATTACTCCAACACGTAGGAAAATCAGCCAGCTGAAGTTGATAACTCGACTCTTGTTTTATCATTTTACACCCACTGTCTTTTAATCTCTTGTGTATCCACAACAGTTGCCCCAATTTCATTCAAAACAAAGATTAAATACGTTGACCTTCCCTCCCCTTCCTCTCACACACCCTCATTACATCCTTTTGAGTCATTATTTACAAATTATTTTGTTTACTCAATTGTCACGAGGAAAAAGAAGACTGTTTTCCTAACTTACTTCTTTGCTTAGCATGCTTTCAAATGTTCTTCTGTGCTGTGATGTGACTGCAAACCTAACAACACGTGGATCGGTGTTTATTAACCCTCACTGGTTTCCATAGCACTGATACTCAGTTTGCAAGTAAAATTACAGATGGTTTTTTCTAGCTGTCAGCTCTGTAAATTCACCCAAAGATTTATATGACAGACCAACTCTTTCCTTCCTGTGAATCATCACAGGTGATGAAGATTGGGCAGGCTGAATGAGTTGCTCAGTTACTAGACTGGGTCTCTTGTCCAAAGATGGACTTGATCAGTCCTTCTGTGCTAAAGAAGTGTGAGATAATAAAACTGCTTCTAGTGCGGATACCTGTATCCATCTAGAGAAAATCCCTTTTTGCTGTGAGTGCTTATATATATCGTGTTATCTTTTCAGGAAATTTTGCTTGCTGAAAAATGGGCCAAAATGAACAAGCTTCCTTTTCCAAAAATAGATCCAAATGTATTTGATCGAGAGGGCTTGAAGGAGTGCTATGTTTTTAAACCAAAGGATACCTCTTCAGAGAAAGACTGCCCTACTATAATCCATTTTGTTTTGGCAAACATCAACTTCCGGAAGTATAAAGCTCCAGGTGAGCAAGTAGTTTTGGATGCTGAATCTAGGTGTTCCTTTGAAGTTTTATAATGATGTAGTGTTTATAGACTACAAATGCTTTGTCCCTGAAATGACTCTTAAGTCTATCTGTAGTAGTTAGGGATTTCAAAAAAAAAAAAAAAAAGTTGGTAAGTTTTAGTTGTGTTTTTGTTTTGTATGCAGGTGTTCCAAGAGAGACACCAGAAGAGAAGGATTTTGCAGACTTTGACATTTTTGATGATCCAAATACACCATTCTCTACTTTCAACTTCCAGTATCCCAACGTTGCTTTCAAGAGGCTTCATGATCTAATGGAGTTCAACACCCTCAATAATATAGATGTATGTATGCCAGCGTGGAAGGGGCTTAAAGGGTCTAGACCGTTAAAGGGGAAAGTAGGTAAACCCCGGGGTCTGCCATCCTAAAGGTACAGAAGTTTACTTCAGTGTTTGCCTAATTATTTTGGCATATAAAGTGCTTCCTGCATTTAGTTGTGCCCGTTGTTATTTTGAAAATTGAGCTAGATCAAAGCCCATTATAGTCAGTGGAAAAAATCTGCTTTATTTTAATGAGAGATGGAGTAAACTCAAGGTAGGTTCTTTATGAACTTGTGTATAAGCATGCTGATTATGGGTGCGCAGACAAACTGTGTGATGGTTGGACCAGATGATCCTGAAGATCTTTTCCAGCCTTAATGATTCTATGATTCTATAGACAACTTGCATCCTTCTGGCCTGGGAAAGGAAGTAGAGAATCCAGTTACTGGAAGTAACCCAGTGACTGGACTTACCGGAAGAAAGTTGGATGAGGTGCTCAGTAACAATTGGGTGAAGAGAATTTGGTCTTTCACTTGACCTCCATTTAGTACCTAAATATCAGTTTTGTAGTAAGCATAACTATATATGATCCTCTGTCAATAATATGTGAGGCTGCTGGAAAGGGCCAGGGGGTATTTTCCAGAAGATAAAAATTATAGATATTTTCAGGACCAAGAAGATTGACTTAATATGGTTGACTGTCTTCCAAATAGAACTATTGGAGTATGGTCTGTGTGCTTTCCATAATGGTTGACCCTGTGCTTGTTAGGATCCACTCCCATTCCTGCTCTGTTCTACTGCCATTTCTGTGTTGTTTTTGTCATTTTCGCATCAAAAGCCCTGCAAGGTAACTGAGCAAATGTGACTGCAGAGGATGTAGGATTTTATGGTCAGGTTTTTATACTCAGGCCTTTATGTATGATGATGATTTTCTAAGTTAAAAAAAAAAAAAAAAGAACTTATTTTGTGAAGATCTGTGGAAATTTTCTTCTCAGCTAACTCTATGGTATTTAATTATACTTTCTAACTGATACTAGTAGTAACACAGGGCTGTGATTGGTAACCCTTTTCTCACAGTATCTGCAGAGTGGCTTTCCATATTCACAGGTGTAAATCATCATCCCAGATAAAGAAAGGATTTATGTTTGTTTTTTTTTTCAATGTAGTGAGCAAATCGTGTTGCTTTGGGACCAAGGAAGTGAAAGTGGGGATTTAATGTTTCAATATAGTCATGATTTCATATGCCCTTTAAGTATGTATTTTTGCGTTGTTTTGATTTACCCTTCAGTGTTGTGCAGGGACTCAGTTGAGATGGTTCATTTAGTATGTTCCTGTGTGACTTGTTTGATGTTGGTGATAGATACCCTGTCATACCTATTAACTACATCTAAATAACTGTTTTATACAATAAAACAAATAGAATTCATAGTGATACTCAGCAATCACTTTGTTCAGAGGATGGAGTGGAGATGAAATTAGGAGCAACAGGTGTTAAGATCTGAAGGGGTCTTTTCTTTCAGTTAATATATTATTAAAACTTAGTTAACTTTCCCAGAGTGACACATTTTAAATTGTTTTCCAGGTGATCAAGCAGGCTATGATGGAAAGCATTGAATACAGAAAGGAGAATCCGTCTCGCTGTTCTGTGTCACTTAGCAGTGTCGAAGCAAGGAGATTCTTTAATAAGAACAATCTTAATAACAATCATACGTAGAAGATGTGTCACAGGTCCTATTCCTTCAAGAAGCTGATTCTATCTTTATAACTGGAGTTGTAAAGACATTTAAGAGCATCACTACTCTTGAAAAGGGCTGTGCAAAGGTCCTGAAAACCTTTTCTTGTGAATCTTCAATATTATTTTGTATTTCTTTTTTTTTAAAAACATTGAAAACATTTCAGTATATTGATATCCTTAGTTTAAAAACTGTGTAATTAGGTTATTTTGGCTATAAAGTCACTGACTTCAGTGTCTTTTTTTTTTTTCTTCTTTTTTCTTACAAAATTGTAAACACTGGTTTCTTTTAGTGGGACAATTGTCTTATATTTAATTGATGTAAACTGGGCATATCTTGAAATGTAACACAGAATGAAACACAATAGAATAAATCTTTAATAGCAGAGATGATATAGGTGTATACCTGGCCTCAGGCCCAGATTCCTCTCTGCTTTACATGAATGAGAAGATTGTCTTCAAATTTAGTTTGAAAAATTGATAAAAGCTGACTATTACTGCTAGTCAGTAGCAGCTACCTTGTATATTAAGTTGCTTGTCTGCTTACGAGCACTGTTGCTTGCTTGCTACACTATTGATTTCGTAGACTGGAAGGTGTTTTGCTTGCCAGTAACTGTTGGCTATGTTGGCCCAACCAAAACTCCATCATCAAGCTTGTGTTTCACCTTTTAATTTTCTTCTGTGAGTGGTGGCTCTTAAACAACACTTTGTAACAAATGGCTGTCAAAGAAATGGGCTCTGTACATCTTTGATATGATCAGTAGGATCCTCAGCTGGTTGTTAATGTGAGGAAAGCTGTTGTTGTTGATACTAAGAAGGATCTGGTCTTGAATCTCAGAATCACACATATTTTCACAAAAATTGAAGTCCACTGTACCGTTGTTTAAGAATATATACATCCACTCAGCAAAAAATCCAGCCTCTTGCATTTTCTGTTTCTCTTTTGTTCCACGAAATTACATTGCTTGAGTTTTAGCTAGTAGCACCTGTGTGTTAAGTGGTTAAGTTCACATATTTCTGCCCCAAATGTTTCCAGGTAAATTAAACATGATTTTGCATTTGATTATGATTAAAAGCAATACATTTCTGCAAAGGGACAGTGGCAATATTTACAGTGGATAAATAAATTGTTCCCGTGTAAGAATGTGAAGTAGTTCATCTGTTAAGGGCTATATTTAAAGTTATTTTTAGTACTTTGAATAGCAAAAGACTGCAAATAAACATAGATTATTTTAGTACCATCTGAAAACATGATTAAAATCTTCATATTAGATAACTGTGCAAATGCATAGGAAAGGGTAGTCACACCTCCAAACACTTCCAGCCTCCTTTGGAATAATGTCATCAGCAAGCGTGAAACAAACTAAAGGAACTGACAGGGCCACCAGGTGACACACATCAGCACTGCCTGCATACCAGATCTGAGAGCTGCAAAGTTTAGGACGCTTGGTCTGATGGGTTTCACTTAAAACAGAAACAACCAAACAACCAAAAACCCCTATGGGATTAACTCTCAGTGGGTGCACCTGGTAGTCCCAGCAATTTTTTGCTACCTGCTTTCTTGTGGGGTTTGGAGAAGGTGGCAGGGGCTGAGCAGTTTGGTTGAAGGTGAGTTTAACTGTCTGGGAGAGTTAATGGACATGTGAAGGTACTTGTAGAGGTGAGAAGGTGGCCCTGTGTGCTGCTTGGCCAGAAGCAGGTTGAGAACAGCACTCCTTTCTCTAGGAATTGCATTGTGGTGAAAACAGAAGGTGTAGGTGGGATTGTTCACAGTAGCGCAGTCAGATGGTATGGGTGTTTCTTTGCAAGAACTGTAAATGAAATTTTGCTCTCTGTATTTCAGTTGACATTACTGGGGTTCATATTTAACTCCCTTACCTTTATGATAGGGCTTTCAGGATTCTGGCAGGCACAGAGATAATTGTCACAAGGGTATCATTTTGTGTAAAGACTACCCAAAGCATATCTGATCTTGTTTGATAATTTTGCGACAAAACAACTTTACTATAACTGCTCCTTTATCCAAGTTTATTGCTAATTCAGTGACTGTTCATCTTATTGTGAATAATTGAGCTATTTTTAATTGCTAAAATCTGTAAGCCCAGAGGAAGGGAAGTAATTGTAATGCATAATAGATGCTGCATCATCCCTCCTTAAATCTACATGCAATGCTAGGTAATTAATTAAATTTTCTGTATTGATTAATAGGTTTTATTTCTGTTTGATGTAATGCATGTTTGAAATCAAGAGAGAAAATAAAAATAACTTATCTTAGTGCTGCATAACTTAAACATTTTTCAGTAAATTTTGGAATACAGGAAGAAACTGGTACTGCTATTGTAATATTTTCTTTATATTTTCCCCTTTTTGTTAATGAGGTAATGTTTGTATTTTGTAAGATGCACCTTCTCTGTTTTATAGAAGTTTTATCATACTTTACACAGTTTATAATATTACAGTGTTATCAAACAATAAAAAAAATATATTTGGCACCTACTGTTTTCAGTTTATTTTCATCATTTACATGATATTTTCACTTTTTTTTTGGTGAAGGGTTGTGGAACATCTTTGTGGTGTATGTGGAACCTGGTGGAGCAGCTCTTATGCAGGGAATTCAGGGCTTTCCTTGTTAGTCTTTCTTTCTAGTTTAAATGTTACAAATGCAACTTCTTTGAGCAGCCCAATGTGTGCTGATCATGCGTCAATCCATTTCAATCCCCGCTGTTGTATTTTGCTGTCACCGCTCTGCCAGCTGCTTTGTGCTTTCTCTTAAGAGCTTGACAGCATGGGCTTGAATGCTGGGTTTTTACTATCTTTAATCTCAGAGTTCTTAAAAAGCAGGTAAAAGTTCCTCAAACCTGTTTGGGTCAAATAGCTTTTGGCTTGTTGCTTCCTTTTGCTGAAAACCGAGCACAGTCTGTCATCTGCAGGTTCTTCAGAAATGCAAGGTCATCACTGTGATGAGAGATGCATAAATACTCCCCATCGCTCTTTGGCAAGTAAGGCTAGGAGTTAGCTATGACCAGTAGATCTCCAAATAAAATAGTAGAGGAGTCAAAAGCTTTAGGTCTAACATGCATATGGGGGGGGTAAACAAATGTTTACCTCTGCTAAAACCAAATCTATCAGAACAAAACCTTGTTCTAACTCTTTCAAGCGTTTGAAATGTCTCAGCCTCTCCAGAAGCTCATTGGTAAGTTCATAATTATAATTTCACTAGTCTCAAACTAAAACCTCACCTAATTTTAGTTTAACTTCAAGTAGAGAAATTCATTGTGATACGATCAGAAACTCGGAAATTGAAAACTATTTCAGCTCAGCTTTAGAGTCTTACGCAGTATATTAAAAATAGTCTGTAGTCTTAATATTCTTAGACAGTATATTAAAGTCTGCAGTCTTACCTAGTATATTAAGAATTACATCAAAGGACAATAAAAAATGGAGAAAAAAACAAAACAAAACAAACAAAAAAACCACACAAAAACCCTTCCACTTCTGACAAGTGATGGGAAACTAAGAACACTTTTTTTTTTTTTTTCCTTAGCCTAAAGATCTAGTCTTCCGTTTCCCTATCCGTCTCCTAACTCTGCTTGATCTCTTTTATCCCTGTGATATTTTTTTCCATCAAGCATATGTATGTTTGGAGGAGATTCTTCTCAAATGCAAGTACAAACACGTGTGCTTGGGTGTGGATTTTCTCAAAATTTACCTATAAGGTAGTAGAAGGTGGATTTTGAGGGGGAAAAAAATACAATTTTTGCAATTTGTGCAGCCATGGAGGTGCCCCCATGCTGGCCTGGTGCCTGCAGAGTGCTCAGCCCTGCCGTTGGCTGGGCGTCTGGGGAAGGCAGGCATGCAGCTTTGCAGAGAGAGCTTCAGGCTATGCCCCCCACTGCCAGGGGAGGAATTGGAATTTTTTAGAGGAAATGAATGCTCAGAATGAAATCTGTGCCGGAAAGCATGAGAGCACAAGGACATTGGCCTCAAGACTGTTTGCATCAGCATGTAGAAAACATTCTGGCTGGGAGCTAGGGTTGTGGCGAATGTGCTTTCTGTTTTGACCCAGCATGTTTTGTCTGGGGGATGCAACCTGAGAAGCCTAAGCAGGCTCTGGTATTCTCTTTGCAGGCTGGATTGCCCACAGATCTCAGCTTTTAGAGCACTAGCTTGATTTTGAGGCTCAGCTGCTCTGGACGAACAAATGGATGGGATTTTAGCAGTGCTGCATAGGAGGTTGTGCAACCAAAGACATTTACATACCACATGTTTGCTCTGATGCTCACTCAAAGCAAAAGCATGTAGACATTTCCTGAAGCTGTAAATACACCCATCACTCTTACTGCTTTTTCATTTCACATACGGGTTAGATTTGTGTATCAATCTGACTCACTCAGTTAAGTTGTTACACACTCGCTCTTCTCACGCTAGGTAAGCAGATCGTCATAGCAAAGAATTCCCCATGACAACAAAATCATGAGACTATTTTGCATGTGAAGAAAAGAGCACAATGATAAAGTTCACAGAGTGACCTGTTCACCTTCGGACTAGCCAAAAAGTTAAAATTTTCAGTACAATAGGAACAGCAATTTCTTGTGTGACTGTTTAATCCCTGAGTGCCATGCTGCAGGTATTTGGCTCAAGCAGAAATCAGGGACTGAAGCCCAAGCCAGCAGGCTTCTGCTCCGTTTACGTCTTGTCAGAAGAAGTGTTGGAATAGAAGGGGAGAAGGGAAGAGCTGCGCTGGGCTTCCATGCCTTGGTTGTGTTAAAGCTTTCCCACTGCCTTGGAGACCTGAGCGCTGACCCAACTTTCTCCTTAAAGAATATTTTGCCTTTGATCAGAGCAGTGCTCCTCACGTGCTTTCTCCTGGAAGCCTGTGGCCAAGCTAAAAACAGAAACTTGAGCACTTTAGGGTGACTTTTGACCTTCTTGTTCAACTGAGCAGAGAAAACTAGGCAGCTCTGTTTTTATTCAGTATCAAACAAGAACTTCTGCCGTGATGAAGTCACACAATTTCTTTCTTACCATTTTCTATTTAGCCTCACCTCTGCTCCCAGCCCAGCTTTCTGGAAGGGCTCCATGGGATAGGTCCCTGGGGCCAGCATCTGCCCTGCAAGGGACGCAGGCACTTGCCCCCTCTGCCAGGCACCCGTAGCGCTTCAGACGAGGAGGTAACGGCGCAGGCATGTTCCCCACCACACATTATAGCCATTCTTTTGCCAACACATTGTTTAGGGTGTGTTATGGAAAAATATGAGAAGGAATTAATGTGATGACATGAAAAGAAATCGAGACAAGTATTTTGCCAGTGTGGCTGGGAAGAAGAAACGCTGATGCTTTGCAGCTGCTGATTTAATACAAATGCTTCCTTCTGGTCCAGTTTTGCTAAATCCTGGGGCTTTGCTACAGGACATTTTTGTCTTACGGCCAAACGCTGTTTATGAGGCTAGCTAATCTGTGCTAACAGCCTGAATGGCTGATACCTGCATATTGGCAGACCCGGCCCCGAATGTCAATCTGTCTGGCTGTGAATGCCCATCTGTCTGGCTGCCACTCCCATCCGGTCAGAGGCATGGCCCTGGGGAGGGCTGGGCCCCATTGGAGCCCATGGGCAAAAAACACACCAGGGCTCATGTGTGCTGTGGGCAGTGAAGGCAGTTTTATCATCCTGGGGCCATTCACGTGGCCATGAACTGGTGGCCTGCAGCATTCAGTGTTTTTCCATTTGCCTAGGAAAGCCATCAGAGAACACTGATGAGGTGGTTTTGCCTTTGGTAACCTCTTCGTGTTTTCAGCAGGACCTCACTCAACCTTGCAGAGGTCCAAAAAGTTAGTAATGCTGACAAGCTCGTCAGCCATTTCTCCCCCATTATTTTCCCTTCCATCTGTAGGTGGAGATGCCTCTTCTGAGCATGTTTTGAGCAGGTTTCAATAACCAACACACCACAGACCTGTTTCTCTTGTTGCATGCCCAGGTGTCATTTTTTTCTCTCTTCCTCTTCCTCTTCCTCTTCCTCTTTGCAGGTGACAAGGGGGTGTTGGAAACAACAGGGACAATCATTTTACATCCCATGTCTTCAGTGTGTCTGTATTGGCTACTTCCTTCCCTTCATTTTGGCATCAGAGCTGGTGCTCTTTCCCTGCATGCATTACTCTGTATTATCACTCTTTTTGAGCCTGAACCATTTCTTCCTCATTTCCTGCACTATGCCCAGCAAATGCTGTTCAGCAGCAAGGGGGCAGTGGTCTCAGGGTGCCGCTGTGAAAGCAAGATGCAAAAACTGTGTGTGGGCATTGTGTATTCTTGATTCCCTAAGGGAACAATCTGTGCTCTCTGTTCCTCATCACCCCTCTGGGCACTTTTGGAACAAGATACGGAAGCACAGCAGCACCACAGTGCATGGAAAGGCTGCCATCCCTCCTGCTGCCTGCTGGAGGAAAAGACTGCTGCTTGCAGGTCACCCATGTTCTGCAAAAAAATGTAGGGGGCTGTAATGCACCACCACTCACCTTAGTCTTTGTATTTGCCAAGTGTAACTGTGGCGAGAAAATAAGACAATTGTATTTTTCACAAATCCTACCTCCTCCTGACCTGCTCCTTGCTTTCAAGCCATGTTGGCATAATAGAAGTCTTCCCTTAATATTCCACTGCAATGAAGCAAGAAGGCATGCAGGTGTCTGAAACTATTTTAAATGCCCCCAACTACCCAGTTAAGAACTATCATCTTCTAGATGAAGAATGCAGATACATGTTTATACAGATAAATATATGTATTTAAAATTTATGCTCAAGCTACTGAACTGTAAGTTTTCTTCTTGTCCCCGTGGACCAGAGCATGTTTTCAGCTAAAGGTAATATTAAAAGTAAAAATGATCACTGCCATGATACTGAGTTCATGAAGGCAGCATAGCGATGGGGGTCAGGGTCTGTCTTTTGGCTTGTAAATGATTTGATATTGGTAGTGAAAAGAGCAGTGTTGAGTTATGTGTGTAGCAAAACATGATGAAAACTATGTTTTAGGTTTAAAAAAATGCCTAAGACTGGATGGACATGAAAAACAGGTAAACTCTGAGAAATATCAAATTGCCTTGTATCAGGTTTACACATGAACAGAGGCAGAAAGCATCCCTGAACCTTGAAGACTGCAACCTCAGTTGTTTCATGCAGTATAGACTTAAACACACTGTTTTCCTTACAATGATGGTAACTGGCTGTCCTCAGTACTAGCCAAAAATCAATCAATTTGAATGACAATTCTAAGGCACAGACTTTAGTATACACTTCTTCATTCTTTAGCATGTGCATGGGAGTGTGGTGGTTTTACCCAGCTGGGCAGCTGAACTCTACCACAACCGTGCTCTCACTCCCCCTGCTCAAAGGAAAGGGGGGGGGGAATAGAACAGGAAGAGCTCAAGGGCTGAGACACACAGACAGGGAGATCACTCCCCAGTTATTGTCACAGGCAAACAAGGCAGAGCAGACTCGGCGTAGGGAGA